GTGTCACATCTATTCAGAAGGATGTTAGGACTATTCTTTCATACCAGCGTCAGTCTCTCGGGATCCCTTCAAAGTCTGAGTCTGATTCTAGTGAGGATTCTGCTGGTGGCTCAGATGGTGATGATGATGGTAGTGGTGATGGTGATGATGATGGTAGTGGTGATGGTGATGATGATGATGTTGGAGGAGGTGATGACTGATTGAGTTTCTTCATGTGATGCTTTTATGCTTTCGTCTGGGTTGTAAAACTTGATAACTCTGTTTTATTTGAGTGTAATAACTCTATGATGCTTTGTGGAACAACTATGTATGTGTTTTTTGTGTGACGTTTTATGTATAATTTGCTATCCCGTGGACAAACCTATGTTTATGCAAAATCAAGTTGTTTCTAAAGCCTATATGATGTTTTTGTGGCTTATTATGTTGTTTCTTTTATGAATTAATGCCTACATAAAATAACTTTCATGATTTGGTGTGTAGCAAATAAGTTGCTTATCATAAGTCTTTTGCACTGTTTAAATTTTTTTTGCACATCTATGATGCCTAAATGATGATTTGTAATTGCTTATGCTAGTTTATCATTTTATGATCAATGCATGGTTAAGACAATAATCATGTTTTGTTACTCAAATTTTTTTTTTTGCATAAGTTGTTGTTTTAGCTCCTGTATATATGCTCTATTGATGGCATCTAGTCTATTTGACAGGGGGAGTTTTTGGCATAAAATTCTTTATTTTTTCTTATCTATGCTTATAAGCAGGGGGGGCATTGCTCCTATCTTTCATTTTTCCCTCTTTTTGATGTTGTCAAAGGGGGAGAAAATACCACATATAGCTTACAAAATTAACTTCTGTTATATATGGTCATATGGTCATGTATGATTTATTCTTGTTTTGGCTCATATGTGGATTATCAGTGTATACTTCATATTCATGTATAAATTGTTTGCCATCATCAAAAAGGGGAAGATTGTTGACCCTATAGTTTTGAAGATGATTTAACAAACAATTTATTACTAATAAGTTTTCTAGTGTTTTGTGTTTTTTGTTCTCTTTTCAGGTATTTCAACACGCGTCATTAAAGTGTTAAAGATTCAAGTTCATCTGCGTGAATTTACCTGGGTATTTGTTTAGTTTACTTATATATATTGTATGATGATATCTAAGCTCAATATATATACACTTAACACGATTTTTGACGTTTTCTATCATATAGATGATTTTTCATTAAACGTTGATAAAATATCTTTATCTCTTGTTTACATCTCTCTCATACTTTATTATATACATATAATATATGCACAATATATATATGAATATTTACAAGTCCTATATCAACTTTCACTTTCATAAAAATACAGGTTTTCTAAGCATTTTTCAAAAACAGGTAGTTTTCACAAACGAAATTTGTTTTTCCAAAAATTCCTTTTCAAACATGTTCATTTCATCATTTATAAACGTTCCCCAAAGTTTCACTATTTTTGGATATAAATTGATATTTTCGTCGGTCGACCGCCAGCTTCAAAACTTGTTTTCTCACGTTTTTTTGAACTAATCGGTCGACCGTACCGGTCGACCGACGAATTGTCAGAATGAGCCTAACGACTAGTTTTTTAAATGGTCTTTTTGGTCTTTTACTTATTTCTAGCTGTTGTTTTGGGGTGCTATATATACCCCATTGCTGCTCTTCTTCTCTATCCATCAAGAAATCCAAGTTTGCTGTTTAACAAGTTGTTAATCGCGTTTAAGAGCTGTTTAAGAGTTGTTTCGTTAATCTGTTTTCAAGAGAAAGTTTTCTACAACAAGAAGAGGCTCTCATATTCCATTGGGATCATATTCTTCAGCTCCTCTTGTTTATTGAGAAGTTTTTCTAAACTCTTTCCATATAGCTTACTATTTCACTTTCATTTGATTAGCTATATTCATTAAGTTATTTATTGAGTTTTATTCACTATTATCACACACACTTATTGAGCTTGATATTTCCATATTATATATTGTGGGTTGTGGGGTGTGATTTAGTGAGTGTGAGCTTCATTGTGTTCTCACTTGTTAATTGAGAACAAATCATTGTATTTAACTTTTATTTGTAAGAATCACTTGTAATACACTTGTACACCGAGAGAAGTGTGAGGAGAGAGAGACGGGGTCAAATCCAATAGGAGTGGCGTCGATTGACGAACCTAGGGAGAGGTTGTAATCGAGCACTTGAGGAGGAAGACACGGGCTAGATTCCTACACTTAGTGTGTAAAGTGTGATTGTTGAGTGATTGTGTAGTGTGAGAGTTTTCGGTGAACTTGTAAACCGAGTGTGTAGAAGTTCCGGCTTCCAAACCGGATTGTGATAGTGGATATCTCCTCGAGGTGAGGAGCGGGGACGTAGGTCGTGGGGACCGAACCTCGTAAACATATCGTGTGTTTGTGTTTTGCTTGTCTCATATTTTATTTGTGCATATTCTTATTGTTCTTATTGTTCATATCCATCTCTTGCAAGAACATATTGATCTATATAATTTTAATTAGCTTCTAATTGGAATTAGATTAGCATAAGACCCTAATCACCCCCCCCTCTAGGGTCTAACACTAATATCGCGAGTTATATATATACATGGGCCAAAGGGCCAATGCTTGACTTGAAGGCATGGCCCCCGGATAAGTTTACGGGGACCCAATTATATATATGGAAATATTCTTTTCTAATTCAAATAACATGTAAAATAAGAATAATATGCTTGTGTGTCCTATGGTAGGCTTTGTTTGATATCTGCAATTAGAAATTTCCTTTATTATCACCTTATATAGGTTATTACCTTAGATGATTATGGATTCTCGTGAGATGTGGACTAGTTATATTTCTTTTCATACATAGATTGGGATTAATATTTAATTATTTATAATTTGAGACATATGGTATATACATGAGAGTTTCATTATTTTGATTATTTCGCTCGATGTACTACGTCTCGTGTTGTAGATTTTTAAGTATTAATTCCATCTAGTTGTATGACCTTATTACTCGGATGTTTGTGGATTCTTCTGATTATTATACTCTAGTAGCTGATTGCATCTAACTTGTAGTATTCCAGCTGCATGTTTCTATTTATTATTACTGTTATTGCATTGGCCGTTCGACCATTTCTATTCTTGCTTTTAAGATATTGTCGTGTGCCATGCACGCTGACGTACTCCTATTTCTCTCGGGTGTACGTCAGATTTAGAGGACAAACAACTTTAGTTTGGAGTCGTAAAGGAACCAGAGGATTCTCAACAGGAGTGCTGTGCAGACCTAGTAGAAGACCCTGAAGCTTAGCTAGTGGATCTTAGTTTACTTATGTAGTACATTCTCTTTTAGTCTTTTGAGAAATTTAGTTATTTTGCAGTACTTCCTTTCATTTCTGTTGGACTATGTATTTTCATATTTTTAGTTTGTCTGTTTTGTAATAAGGGCATGGTTGACCCAAACTTGATGTCTCTGATGATATTTTATTTGTGATATGATTTCTTCTATTATAACTTGTTTATTATATTCTTGCTAATTGTGATCGGGGACCTGTGACTTCGCATTGTATATTACTTAATGCTTAGCATATTAGGTTGAGAAGAAATGATATTTTATTTATTCTCCTCAATTTAATGCGTCGCGTGCTTGTTCACGTACCGTTTCTCTGGTATTTTGGGAAGCTGAGCGTGACATAGGTGCAGGAGGGTAATCTCTTTAATTCATCTTTTATTATTTGTAAATTTTAAAAATTTTAAAATTTCAGGGTTGTTTTTTATAATTTGAACTTTTGAGTGTGTTTCTATATTTTTTGGTACATTAAGGATATTAATTAAAAATTTTAAATTCTTAGGAGGCTGCTATTAATTTTTTGATTTTATATCTATTGTTTTAATATTTGATATGTCAAAAATTTTCAGGTGGTTATGGTAACATGATATGATATGATATTTTGAAACGCAAAATAATATATTTTTTACAATTTTGCCGCTGCGTGCATCATTGGACGTCAAGATTCACCGTATCTTTCTCATCGTGTGAATATTAAAGCACGTCACGTGCAAATCACATGACCATGCTCTCCGGCCTTAACCCCGCGTTAAGTAACGCTCACTCACCCAAGTACTCACACTGCTCCAATTTCCACCGCCTGTGCAACAAACCAGACCAATCAAATCCATCCACATCAGCGTCTGATGAGCTGTCATCACTTAATTCGTTCGCATACCTGTACCTTGGTCTACCTTCACACCCGATCGAGCCCGGGATCAAAGATTACCCCATTTCTCAACTCGCGAGCGTTATACTATATTTTTCTCCATTTCTATTAATATATTTCTCTCTCTCCTTGCTTCGATCGCCCAGATCTCGATCCCTCTCTCTCTCTCTCTCTCTTTCTCTCAACAAAAAACCTCATTGGGAGAAAGAAATCTAAAAGCCATGGCGTCCTCGTACCCTCGCCCTCGCCCTGGCTTCCATAATCCTCCTCCAAACCCTAACAACCCCCCCAATTTTCCCCCGAATCCTAACCCTAGCAATCTCCGCGACGCCATGTCGCCAACCTCCAGCGATCAACCGCCCCCCCTCCTCACCCCCTCCGCCGCTCCCCGGGGTCCCACCGATCCTTCCCTGCCCCGCCCCGGGCCACCGCCTATCGCCGTCTCTGGCGCCCCGCAGTTTCCCCCTGCCGGCCTATGAACAACGGCGCCGTCGTTCCGCCGGCGGGCGTCGTGGCCACAGGCAGCGGCCTTTTAGCGGCCTCCTCGCGGCCCACGGCCTTCTCTCAGACAGCTCGGTGGGCCCACATCGGCAGGCCGCTCTATGGGGAGCCCGCCGCCTCCTCAGGCTGCTCCTTCGGCGTCCCAGCCTTATGACTGCGGCCGCCGCAGCCTTTTCCGGCAGCTGCTATGACCATCACAACCGTTCCGCGGGCGGCTGCAGCAGCATCGCAGCCGTTTCAGGCCGGTGGCGTTCCGCCAGCAGCAGTCTCCTTCAGCCCGCCCCACCGCAGCCATTTTCAGGACTGCGTCAGCCTCCGTTCTCTGTGCCACCGCAGGCTGTGCTGGCCGGCTGCGCCATTTGGAGCTCCGATGTGGTCTTCACAGCCTCCAAGAACGGTGAGTCCTCGAAAACTTTGAAAGCTCGTAAAGATGGTTTGAATGTTTAATTGAATCAAACTGTAATATCTAATCATCGAGTCATCTTATAACTAGCGCACATTATGATCTACTGAAGATATCTGTTTCGTTGGTGGTAGATTGTCGATATTACAGTTATTGAGCTTAGTATTGAGTAAACCTTCGTTCGTATTTTTATGAAATTGTTCTTCTCATAATTTAAAGTTTGCGTGTTCTTAAAAAGTGGTCTAGGCGTCCGCTAGGACTAAGCAGTACTTAAGCTGCCGCCTATGTCCCGGTAGTGCCTGGGGGAGCATGAGCTGTTATCCAGACTGCAACGCTTAGATCGTGGTCTAATTTCCTCCGCGGTCGCCTCAATGCCACCTCCCTGGTCTTTTTCACCGTCCTCCAACCTTTAGCAAGACCTCCACCTCCAATTAAAAGAATAAGAAATAGAAATCCATCCAGGGCCCTCCTAACCGCGTATACAACCCCTACCGCATTCTGTAACATTAGTTCGTCATAGTACACATTTGGGATTTAATTGTTTTTTTCTCATTTTTTATAACTAAAGTGATCTGATTTTGAATAATTTAATTATATAGACCCCTCCTAAAGTTGAAATGTGAATCATGTTATGTCTAAGTTTCTATCGAGATTGAGTTGGTATTTGATAAATAATTCTCGATTTATACTCTAGACTAGTGTGCACCCCGTGCAAAGCATGACCCCCTATTTTTTAAGCACCACATTTTGAATTTGCCTCCCTCTAAGTTTTGATATATTTGATTTAATTATTGTATGCTTAAAAGTAGAAATCATATCTACTAATCTATACTTAAAGAATGATTCAAGTTTTATTACATTTACTTTAGATATCATATCTACTCATCTATACTTAAAGAGAGATCCAAGTTTTAATACATTAGATTTACTTTTTACTGTTTATGATATAGTATATTACTGTAGCATGAATAATAACTTCACGTCTGGAGGAGTAGATTTGATTTACTGTTTATGATACCGTAAATACTGTAGTATAAACATTAACTTCCGAGTGTAGAGGACCACATGCGATTTACTATTCACTATAGTATTTATTGTAGCATGAACAATATTCTTTGGATTCTCTTTTAAGTATAGGGGAGTAGATATGGGCTCTATTATTGGCATGTTTAAGTGTTATTAAAGGTGATCATGTTATGTGATATATTTTGATGCCTATAGTCCCATCCCGAGCTTGTAAGCCTGTCTACGCGATGTAGGCGTCGAGACCAACCGAGCGCAACTCATTGTTTGGCTCAATCTACTAAAAAGATTATTAACCATCATTGCACTTGTCTCCTTTGTCCTACTAATTAAACTTATCAATAATTTACTAATTAAACTTATCAATGTCTTCACACGAGCCATGTGTGACTATAGTAGAGGAGCGTCATAATCATGCCCCTTTAGATAGATGATGCCCTAATCGCAACATTTGATAACTAGTCCATCTCGGTATCATAATCAGACAATGTGGATTCTAGAGGCGACTCTTATGAGTTCAAGAAGTGGCTTCCATTGATCACACCCAATGTACTACTTACTCTTGTGTAACACTTTCCCACACTTCCAACGGGCAACCTGTCAGCCGACAACCCGGGATGATTGTGTTTGAGGGAGAGTGATAAAGATGAGGATGAGTTTAATTTGTGAACCTTGAGATTCATTTTTGGCAGGGGATCGAGCTAAATAATATGTTGCATTCGGTAGGTCCCGAAACTTATATGTGCCAAAAGGTTCGCAGGCTCGAGCGTGACAAATGGTTTAAGAGCAGTTAACCAGCTAGAAGTGTGAAACTAAGTGATCTGCGAACCAAGTGTTATATCGCGTGAGAGCAATGAGAGTCACCTCTAGAACATGTAAGAGCCACCTTTGTAACCCACATAACCTAGTGGTGATAGACCAATTATCAATGCTATGATGAGTACATCACGTATCTAAGTTGACATGATTTTTAGGGGCGGAGGGCCAAAGTGGCCTCGACCCCCCTTAAAATTTATTATCCCACTATATATACAAAGTGCAAGGAAAGAAATTGAAACCAAGAGCTATAATGATCTCTTAGTTTTAGTCAATTTATGTAGCTGCATAGTCGTTTTGGTTAAAATATCATACAAAGTAGCGTATATATTTGTATTATTGCACCGTAACTGTGCATAAAGCTAGAAACGTGCCAAATATCACTATATTTTTGAATTAAATAGGCTCTTCACCGATGATCATCTTAGATAATTTTGGATGGTAATAAGGCATATAAGAATGCTCAATTATGTATTATGGTAATCTTAACACATGTTCTTAGTTACTTTAAGATTTATATAATGAGATTGCTATAGATCTATTTTAGTTAAGTAGTTTGGTTCTCTAATTGTGATATTTTTTTCTTAAATTCAAGGGATTAGTAAAGTTGCTAAGTAGTTGGTTGAATGGAAGATGAACCTTTATGTATTTTGGTGTATAAGTGGGTGAAGGTTGGACTACTTTGAAACTCGATTTTAATAATCTTGTTATGTAATGAGATTTAGATACTAACAAATCATAAAAAGTTATATTTTATAATAAGAACAAATTTTCACTGTAGACCCAAACAAAGTTTTAATTACCAAAATCGACCCATTTTTTTTAATTACCAAAATCGACCCATTTTATGCCACGTAAGCTTAATCACATTTCTTAATTAGTCGGGGTTGGCAACCCCGATTGTTTAGGACATTAAAAATTAGGTTTAAAGCTTCTAATTGGGGTTTAACAACTCCTAAACAGTCGGGGTTGGCAACCCCGACTAATTAGGAAATGAGATTAAGCTTACGTGGCATAAAATGGGTCGATTTTGGTAATTAAAAAAAATGGGTCGATTTTGGTAATTAAAAAAAAAGGGTTGATTTTGGTAATTAAAACTTGGTTTGGGTCTACAGTGAAATTTTGTTCTTTATAATAATGTTTATTAATTTTGGGACCCTCTACCAAAACTCTTAACTCCACCGCTGGTGATTGTGATGCCCTACTAGTATTGCCCCACATGGGGTAGTGGCAAAGTAAAGGATGGGTTTATGATGTAAACTTTGAGATTCAAGTAGCGACAATGGTTAACTATTTTTGGCGGTGGATTGAGCCAAACAACTTGTTATACTCAGTGGATTCCATGGCTTACACCGCGTTAACTAACGTGGCCTAGGGTGACACTTGTAGTTTGAAAGATCTGTAAGCTCGGATTCATTATTACAGTCATTAAGTTCATGGAATGCCTGAATTTTCAATCTAAAACTAACATACAATTTTGACTAGTATTCCAAATGAATGCAGTTGCTGATACCCTGAGATGACATCAAACTTCATCTTTTGAATTTCATTCTGGAGTTTATGTTTTCCATCTTATTTCATATATTTTTAGCTAGTGTAGCATCGTCACTTGAGGAACATACCCATATCTAATGTTTATTCAATACTTAGATATTCTTGGATATTTGATGTGTGATGACATCTGTTTTAGACATCGTTAATTTGTATTAAAAAATTAAAACTTATGGATGATGGATTCACTATTCTATTTGAATGTATACACATTGATTTATTTGTTCTTCTCAGTTTCTCACAAAGAATATGATTAGTCACATAATTTATTAATGTGCACATGTATAATTTTGTTCTTTTTACATCCATGAGCTGTGATGGGCCTGTATTCTAAATATGTTGGATTCACATTATTCATAAGCATCCTTGACATTTGGGCTCTACATCCTAGTTTCCAATAATTTTTTGAATTGTGTTGTCTATGATGTATCATAGTCGTATGGGATATTTGTATTCATGTTCTGCAATTATCTGTTTCAGGGTGCTGTGCCCATGCCAAGTGGTATGCAAGCTCCACCAAGAATGTTTGGCATGCCACCAACAAACTCGATGGGTCAACAGGTGGCTCCAGTCCCTCCAGTGATGGGGCACTCACCTCTCTCTACATCCCAAATTGGTGGGCCTTCAAAGATTGATCCTAATCAAATCCCACGTCCCACACCAAGCTCTTCAATTGCCCAATTTGAAACACGGCAATCAAATCAAGCCTGCATTCCCCCGGTATACCTTGCTATAGAGTAACCTTTCATTTCGTAAAATAAGTGTAATTTAAGTTTAATCTAGCTAGAGGCTGCACATTTTTTGTCTTTACTTTTTTACTTATGAAAGTTCTATCTTTATTTTTTTCCTTTACCATTTGACCTAAATGCAAATGTACTATTGTTTGTAAAGCCTGCGACAGGTGATTTCATTGTTAGGGATACTGGAAATTGCAGTCCACGTTTAATGAGGTGCACCATGAGTCAGGTAACTATTTCTTGATCTTTCTTTTAACTGCTTTCGGAACTTCTAAATTGACAGCGTTTAGTTCTGTTTAATTTAAAAATGCATTATTCGTCAGATACCATGCACTGGTGACCTCTTGTCAACTTCTTGCATGCCTTTGGCATTGATGATACAACCCTTGGCACTTCCACATCCAAATGAGGAGCCTATTCAGGTGATTTGATGCCTTGTTATCCTATACCTTCAGTTATATCCAACATCCTTTGTTTTTATATAGCTTACTTTAAGGTGGATGGAAGCTTTATTATATTCTTTAGACTGCTCACTATTTGGCTCTCTAGATTGTGGACTTTGGAGAAGGTGGACCTCTTAGATGCTCTCGTTGCAAAGGGTATATAAATCCCTTTATGAGATTTGTTGACCATGGGAGGCGGTTCATCTGCAATTTGTGTGGTAAGCATCATTTAGCAACGTCTAGGAACTTCCATTTCATATATTCTCATTGTTCTTTGTAGTCTTTGAAACTTTCTTATTAATTTTTTCTAGAGATATGTTTGGCCTAAGCTAGAGTAGGATTCTATTATTTTTATTGTGCTTAGAGTTGTTGTTTGACTTTTGGTTTCGTTATGTCTTTCTTATCCTTATTGCTTAAGAAACGCTTCAAGGCTCATGACAAAGAATTGATTTTTTTCGTTTTGAGAGGTTATTTACCACAACCATGAAGGCCTCATATTGCCCCCCTTATTCTGTATTGGTTGTTGATGAACTCATTACAAAACACGTGCACATTATGTGCTGATGACAATGTTAATTAACGAGACTGTGATAATTTTTAAAGTAATAAGACAAAGAGAAGCTCTCAAATCTAGACATTATTTGCTGATGACAATGTTAATTAACGAGACTGTGTCAATTTTTAAAGTAATAAGACAAAGAGAGGCTCTCAAATCTAGAGTATTTAGAATTAGTAGAACAAAAACAAAATACATGAAATATAACTATATAAAATTGTGACGAAGAATGCATGCATATTACTTATTGACAATCAATAAATATTTAGGAGTAATCAATTTTGCTACTTAGGACTTGTCTTTGTCAAGATGGTTACGTTGAGATTGATGTGATTCATCAAATCAAACTAAGAGGTTAAAGTGGGTGAGAGATTGAAGGGCAAGTTTTTTAGTACAATTATAAGACTAGTAAAGCTTTATGAATCAAAATGTTGGCTTAAGAAGTAATACGTGCAAAAAATGAGTGTATCAAAATGTTGGCTTAAGAAGTAATACGTGCAAAAAATGAGTGTAACAGTAAGGAGAATGCTACAGCCTACAGACAATGTGTAGAAATACACTAACAGATCGGATGTGAAATAAACTCACTGATAGAAAGTTAGATGTTGCTTACAAAGTGGAGGGGAATCAATTGAGATGGTTTGGCTATGTGCAATGGAGACAGCTAAACGTATCAACTAAAAGAGAAGTGATAAGGTCATAACAAATTGAGCAAGCAAGAATATAGGTAGGTGCAAGTCGGTAAGAGAACTTGGTTGGAAGCAATTAGAAAGGATATTCTAGTAGTAACTTAATGAGATGATCCTTAGCAAAACTGAACGAAAGAATAAGACTTGTTATTGTTGTTAGTTTTGCATAGGTCATACGTTACTTGCCAGTTTCATCTAAGATCTGCGTTTTTGAAGGCCTTAATATCTGTAGCAAATAAGAAAAAGGAAATCACTTAAAATGGTAAATCAAATTTATTCATAAAGCTCAGTGGGTGTAGATGGCTGAAGTTGAAACTTATGGATATGCAAGATGAGTGCAAATTTGAATTAAAAGAATTAAAATTAAAAATTGCAGTCATATAATGTGCTTTTTGTTATAAATAGGAGAGATCCTACCAGTAAAGAAGAATTTGCCTTACTAACTCCTTTGGTCTTCCATTTATAAATCTAGTTAGGAAATCAGAAGAGGGGGATTATTTTTTTAATATTTTCTTTAGTTGCAATACGGTTTCCTATTTTGTTTTGAATGTATCTTTTTTCCAGAACCGCTTGGAGGAAAGAAGTGTGACAAGTAATCTAATTGAGGAGGGATTTAGCTCATTGGAATGTGCGAAACCACCTTCTCAATTGCCTCTTCTATACCACAGATGACGGCTATCATTTTTTTATTCGAGGGCCATTCTTGTATACTATAGTCTAATTATGAGTACAGGATTATTTTCTGCTGCTTTCCTTCAGACTTGTTATCCTTAGGGCTTCCGGCGAGTACACATGATCAAATAGTTTCAAATTAGCAATGATTAAATTTTCTTAGTGGACAGCTGCAGAACATGGTTGTTCCTATTTTTGTTGCTGTCTAGTTCTCAACTGTGATTATTGTAGATTTTATTGTGCAACCTGAGCTCGACATTCACATGTAGTAACCTTCCGGTAACACCCTTCATTTTCTGTTCTTTTGATTCATATATTACGAAACTGGTTATATTTATAAGAGATCTGGCTGTATACATCTAATCTAATATAAGAGAAATCTAGACTTCTGGTGGTTTCTTTGTCTGATTAGACTAGGCAACAACTGACACGGATGGCCTCCGTGTTATAAGATCAAAAATACTCTCAGAAGTTGGAAAATTTAGAAAATGACATGAGCAGGGAATGCTGACACTTTCTTCATTTACAAGTTACAAGATACCATATGACATGAAAGACTACATCTCCTTGTTAGAAAACCGCACACTTCATATTTCTTCATTTCTGAAGAAACAAGTATCTAAGGCCTTATTCTCTTGGGTTCTAGCCTCCTAGTTACTGTTTTGATATCTGGAGTTTTATGTATTTGGTTCATTTTAATTATTTATATCTTTCTTGCCACTTGTAATTGTCCAATCCTATCTTCTTGCACTTCTCTCAGCTCCCAAAAATGTTTGGAGTTCATACCTTTTGACATTCTATTTCTGGCAGGATTTACTGATGAGACACCTAGAGATTACTACTGTAATCTTGGTCCAGATGGTAGGAGGCGGGATGCTGATGAGAGGCCTGAGCTGTGTAGAGGAACAGTTGAATTTGTTGCCACTAAGGAATACATGGTTTGTTAACTTGTTTGATTAGCATTAAACTTATTTTGTTACCCATTTTATTGTAACTTAATTTTCCCCCTAAATTTGAAACAAGTAAGAAAAATTGACTTGTTATGCAAGTATCTCTGATATTGTTTGTTCTATTCCCTCTTTGTTGGAGCATATGCGTTCTTTATGTGCATTCATTATCTTTACTTTGTTGGATATTCGTTACTTTGAGAATTGGTTGGAAATTATTTTTTAGCATGCAGTAAATTGCTTAGTTCATGTTACTTAAGTAATTAATAAATGTCGGAGCTGCTAAGCTCAAGTTCCTTGGTTTTTTGAACGGTCATCATGTTTTCTTTTTGTTTCTTTCTTTTCACACTCTGCATTTGAATAAATTTTTCTTACACGCAATTTTGTCTGCTCAGGCTAATATTTAGATTTGCAATTAATATTTTTGTGATCAATTTTCTGTTTCTTTAAAGTCTAAAATTACCTTATTTTGCATGCTTTGCCTTATTTCCAGATTCGTGAGCCCATGCCTGCAGTTTTTTTCTTCCTCATTGATGTCTCAATGAATGCCATACAAACTGGTGCCACTGCAGCAGCCTGCAGTTCAATCAGCCAGTCTATTGCGGAACTTCCGGTAACTTCTCCTCATTTTCTTCTTGGCTCATGTTTTCTTGTCATGCATTTCTGGATATGCTCATCAATGTACATTATAGTCAAGGGGACCGAAGTATCCGATACTGGAGTCTAGTGCTTTAATCTGTAGTTCTGTTTCTATCATGTATTCATGTTATAGCTGCATATTTTGTTATAATATCTGCACATATAATTATAGGTATTTATGAAATCTCCTCAAGGTTTTACCAAAAATTAAGAAAGCCCTCGATGTTGCTTTTTAATTTCACATAACCAAGTCATTCTGTATTCTTTCAGTTTTCCCATTAAATAAGCATGTGCCTTGCACATAAGGATATTCTCTTTTTTTCTTTTGAGAATTATGAGGTTATTCTCCCTCCCAAAAACCAAGTCCTCTTTGGTCTTATTTATTTCTTCTTTTTTTTTTCTATTCATCATTCAACCTTAACAATGACTGCAAGTGCTTCGAGCATCATGTCAAACATGGGGGTGTGTATGATCTCTCTTCTCTTCTTCATTTCAGCATTGTTTATTTTTTTTCAAATTCATTAAGTTGAACCATCGATCCTCTATGTTCATCTATTTGTGGGTAAAATTACATTTTCATTCTCGTGGACAAGGTCTCTTTTCCTAACCTCTATGCTATTAGAGATTAGGACATATTCTCAACTGCCATTATAATATGAGGGTTCTCATGCTTATCTTATGACAGTCTGGAAGAATATCTTAAGTGCAGGAAACAAACTTACAAATTTTGAATTTGTGATGACAAATATTCTTCAAACTAGAGGAAAATTTTGATTGATTTACTTTTGAAAAAGGAGTTGAATCAAGCACAAAACCATTTAATGGAATCATAAGGTCATACCTGGGAGTTAGGTGGATGATGAATGAAACTTTTTGCATTTGGAGTCGAGATTCAATGAATATTGATTGAGTGAAAGAAATAGGAGGAAAGGTAATAAGATAGGGCTTTACAACAAGAATTATGGTTAAAACAAGAGCAAGACAGTAATATTACATCCAAGGTTTTAAATGTTGGATGTCGGGTTCATGTCGGACGACTAAAATTCATGCTGGATAGCGGAAATTGGGGATATTCGGGGGACATGAAAAAAATATTGGATTGCCATATTGGATGGCGTTCATACGTGTAATATAAATATCATAAATGAAATCTAAACATGCTTAATAAATTATATTGTCTAAACATATAGAAAAGTAAATAATTTGTGATGCTTAGGGTTGATGTTGAAGGAAAGAGGTGAGAAAAAAGGAGTCCCATGTTAGCGGTTAAGGAGAGAGATCGCCGATATTGATGTCGAAGGAACATGTCGAAGAAGAGATTGATGAGATGTCGAAGGAGAGAGAGAGAAGATGAGCGACGGAAATGAATTTGTTCTTTTTTCCATTTCCCCTTACTGATCGGGTTTTGTATTTGAAAGCAATATTAAGACAATCAAGAATTTAAATCCAAATATGATTAGATAAACATAGCAAAAAAAATAAGCTAAATTTTCAGACTGAAAAATCGCACGACATAGCCAACAGTCCTCGATGTATACATACGACATGTCCCCTGATATATTCGACATGAATCCTGAAAACGCAATAGGTATTGAAAAGCTCCATATCGTGTCGGTTGGCCCCTAAATCCGACATGACAGCTGGCATTTCAAACACTGATCACCTCTAAGCTTAAGTTGACTTAATGGCAGGGTTATATGCAATGAAGAAATAACAGCAAGGAGTATCGTAATTTTGGGTAAAACCTTGAGAGAGAGGGGGTTTCAGAATACTTGCTATATTTATTGACTTCTTTACTTGTCTTTGTGGTTAGTTGGCATAGTTTGTCCATTTCCATCTCTGTTTTTTTTCTTTCTCGTTTGGGGTGTGGATGTGTGTTTCTCTATGTTGGGGTGGCATGGGGTGTGCAGTTCATGTGTCATTGTAAAAAGATAATTTGTGATTCTACTCTTAAGAAAATTTAATATCTTTTTATTATACTAGTTCACTGGAGTTTTTTCCTTTTAATTTTAGTATACCATTCACTTTTTCGTCCTCTTCTTCTTTTATTATTATTATTATTACTTTGGGGTGGGGTGTGTGTGTTTGGTGGGGGGTGGGGGTTGTATACACTATACTATGATACCAAGGTTTTAAATATCGGATATCAGGGAAATATCGGATGACCAAAATTCATATCAGATTGCGGATGTCGGGAAAATATCGGGGATATGTGGTAAATATCGGAATGCCATAATGAATGTTTGCATACATAGTATAATACATTAAAATGTAATCTCAACATATGTAATGAAATTTAAGCATACAAAATATGAATAATATATGTTTAGGATCACTAATCAACCTTCTAAAACAAACAAAAGTACAAAGCAACATTGCAACATTCGATCTGCTTTTTTTAGGGCAAAATGTCATTTGATATAATGGGAAAATCTTGATATCTCGCCCAAAAATTCCAAACATGGTATATTATTTTGCAACAAGTTATATAAAAAGATATATTGGTCCACATATCGGCTAATATATCGGTCATATCGGGGATTTATCACTCAAAATAGCCAAAAAACGGTAAAGGATATTTAAAGACCATATCGGTTGCGGCAAGCCCTGTAAAAGGATATATCGGGGGATATATCGGGCCATGTCGGGATATTTAAAACAATGTGTGATACTCATCAAATTCCTGTAGTTAAGTCTTTACCCCAAAATGTGCATTTAGTTATGCAGGAGAAGGTTAATATAGTCTGGGGGTCATTGATTTCAGTTATCACCTCTTAGTCCACCTTTCCCCCCTTCCAATTTATGTACTTTTGGATATTTTGTGTTAGACCTTCACCCAAAATTCAGCAGTTAGTTACAGAGGCGAGTGTTTAAATAGTCTGCAGTTTTTTTTATTGTAGATATCGACCCTTAGTCCACATTTTGTTCTTCCAACTTCAACAGACTGTTAGGTATCTTGTGTAGAGTTATCTAATAGGTGTAATCTTATCACCACTTACTATTTTTTTATTTACATTTCACTGAAATGCTGTTGTTATGAAACCAGCCGTATTTTCTTCTTATATTTCATATTTAGACTATGTTACTATAGACAGGATCCTTATTGTAACATCTGTCTTGCTCGTTTTTCACATTATCATGCTTTTTTTAAGATGACTGCACATTATTTTGCTGTCATGTAATGTAGAATTTAGTTACATTCTTTTCTATCTACAAGCTTCTTCGATTTTCTTTCAAGAATATGTTATCAAAGAATTCCTTAACAACCCATTTCGCCTCGGATCATTTCTAGAGGTTATTTGACACCGAACTAGATATTGATCTCTCCATTGCATGTGATACTCCATAAAAAAAGGGCTCTTGTATCACAGCTTCGTTGAAATTTTCCTCTTCTTTTTCATTAATCATCAGTTAGTAGTGTTCTATTGTCATTACTTGTTTGTTAGATCGCTCGTCTCGACTTCTGCCATGCTCTTAGTTGATTGATTTTGATGGAAAAGACTTGAGATGATAATAGCAAGCTCTTTGTCCCGTGTCTATTTCTCTTGTGGCGCTGAATTTGCAGATGTTCAGTCAGACTCCTTTACCAGCTTAACAAATGTCCAAGTCCAATAGCAGCACTCATATGGGCTTCCGGGTGACGAGTTAGTTGAATCAGTGTCCTGTTATTAGTTGCTTCAGTGTTCCAGCATCAGTCTTCTCTCTCTCTCTCTCTCTCTATTCCAGCATGATTGTCGCATAGTGTGCTCGGAGGACCATCTACATTGATCAGAGTACCCTTCTGACATGTGGGTATTAAGCAAGTGATTAAGAAAACTTTGTAAATCTGCCTTAATCATATTAGGTAGGCATGAACCAGATAGCTATTATGATAGTTTTTTTCTTCCGGCAGTGTTTGAGTCCTTTGGTTTACTTTGATGATCTGTTATAATTTTCACAGGAATCAGAGTTTCTTTTTCATTCTGAGACAAGGTTTTTTTCACCCCCACCCCACAAAAAAAAGAAAAAAAAAAGAAAAAAATTGAAAAACCAAAAAATGTGCAATATTCTTACTTTACTTCTTAGAGCATGTTTGACAAACGGTCAAAATGGAAGTGGATTATAATCCATTATTGGATGTTTGGCAAGTGGATTATGATCCACCAAAAAACTTGGTGGATTATAATCCTTGAGTTTTGACCTAGTAAAAGACAATTATACTCCATATGATTTCACAAAATACGAGTTTGTATTTAATAACTCACCACCAACCCCATGTCTTTTTTGGTCATTTCGATAACAATAATGGATTATAATCCGCCCATTCGTCAAACACTCTATTGTTGAAATCAGATTATGATCCACCAAGTTTACAAACACTCTGGAGTCTGGATTAATCCACTTTAATTATTTCCATTTAAAGATAGTAACCCAAGTTGATTACAGTCGAAAATTCCCAAACATGCTCCCAATGGTTTTAAATTTCTTGCTTATGTGTCTATCCTTAGGGCTTATTATTATAGGATTTTAGTCTATTTTTTGATCCTTCAATTTTTGTATTCCCTTCACAAGTGGTTCATGTGCTTCTCCTCCCCTCGTCTGCTTCTGTGTGCATGAAGTCCTGTGATATGGGAGATATAGCTTGAGAGGACATATAAATTTTGTGCATTTAGGCTGTATTACCTGGGTACTGCTATCAAGATGTCATACCCCATTGCCCAGCACATACCCATACTGAAACTTTATGGACACACATTGGATATATTTATACATTTATTCGAAAATGTAATCCATTATATGATATATTTTATACTTAAACATGTGTTATACACTTCTTGGATGTATATCCTACAATTCATATCCATTTCTTGAAACTAGTTACACATGGTCGGGTTTGTTTCAGTCCATAGCCAAGTTCAAAGCTATAGCTTAAAAGTCCGTTCGAGTGTAGTTCGAAAAAAAAAGTTTCTAATTTATAATAATCAACATAGTAAAAGGAACTTGACAATATGATATGAATTTTAATATCAGTAAGATATGAATTGGAAATAACAATGATATCATGTAAATTACTAATTTCAGTTTATATGTGGCTGTATCCTGTACCTTACATTTAACAATTTTTTGGTCTTCTGTACCTGCACCCGTAGTGCTACCGGTGCCCGTTTCCGTGCAACTTAGCTTTTAGGTTCTGCATGTTTGCTGCCTGTAAATTATAGGGCTCCTAGAGAGTCCAGTTTATTCAAACCCACCCATGGTCTGGTCCAATTTTGCCTCCAGCTGAATCTGGAATCTAGTCCTTTTCCTTGTATATGTGTCTAATTCATCCTGAACTCCAAATGGTAGTGTTTGATCTTGTAAATTTGGACCCAACCTGTTAAAACCAAATCAATATGTAAAACATGCTAAAAATTAGTTTCATCATATGTATTACTGTTTAATAATACAAGTCAATATGGACCAAATTTAAAGTTCAAACTTGAGGTTGAGGGATCAGATTTGAACCTGGACTTGGGTAAAAACACAGATCTGAAGCTATTTACAGTGAGATCAGGTTAAGAAAGACCTACCTGAATCTGACCAACTCGTCTCCTTAGTAAACGGTGAGGATGTTGGTCATATAAACAATTACCAAACTCTTACCCTTTCTAATCAAAGGATTTAGCAAGTGGATTTTCTATATTTCTAGTAGGGGGTTACAGAAATTGATAAATTTACTATATTAGGAATGCTAAGGCAGGAACCTGAGCATGTCCTGAATGCAAGGTGTTCTTAGCTGCTTAGATTACTTGCACTTGGCTGTTTCTTCTTGTTTGTCAGTTGAATACTTTTTCTTCTTACACCCTTTCTTGAACTGCTGTCATTGTACTGGAAGGACTCTTGGATTTGATTTGTCTTATCAATAGTGATGTTTTTTATTCTGTTTCTTATGGGAAAATCAATGCTTGTCACATGGTTAGTTTCTTTCATGCTGGTGTATCTTTCTGCCATGACAACACTAACAAAATAAATCATAAATCTCCTGTTGTTTCTATTCCTGCTAGGTTATGTCAAAATGATTTGTCTTTTATATATTATTGACGAGTTACCATACTGGGGATATTTGTGTTCAACATCTTACACAAGTTTATGATTTGACAAACTATCGATTCTGCATGATCTGATAACCATGTGGCTAGTAATTTCTGTAGATCTTGTAATTTGTTATTGGAAGAAACTCATTCAGATTTATTGGCTGATACTTTGGCTCACAGGAAGGTCCTCGCACAATGGTGGGCATTGCAACCTTTGATTCGTCTATTCATTTCTACAATCTGAAACGAGTTCTTCAGCAGGTATGAAATTTAATTTTATTGTTGTTATCCATTACTTGCTATATGTCTTGACTGTATTTGGTATGACAATAGAAACGACTCATACCATTATTCTTGTTCTGACTTAATGAATTTTAAAATGCGTCTTTTTTAAGGTTCTTCATTAAAGCGGAGTGTTGCCATCCATGCTTGTCTATCAAGGATGGAAAAAAGTCCTCCCCTCATAGAAAATATTTATCACATCAGTGAGAGTTAAACAAAATTAACCTTAACGTGTCATGCAGTATCATTTTTCATGACTCATGGATTTTCACCGTTATCCACGTTTCCTCCTAGATTCATTAAGTGGAAGGTAAAACTAGGGATTTGAAGATTCTCTGTCGACAAAGCAAGGTGACTTGAAGTGATACGATTGTTGCAGTGAATTTTGCCTTCTAATGTTGTCAGGTGAACTGAAGTGATAGGATCCTTGCTAAGAGTTTAGTCTTCTAATGTTGTCTTCTTGTCTGTTAGGACATAGACATCATAAGAATATGCAATTACCTGTTGGCTTTCACACATATGTAAACCTTACATGGAATAAGGGGGTACTGCATATAATTTTATCTGTGGATTGCACATGTTTTGTTTTGACTCTTATTCTTTTTGCAGCCTGTGATGCTTATCGTTCCTGATATACAAGATGTTTATACTCCGCTTCATTCTGACATAATTGTTCAACTTGCTGAGGTTTGTCCTGCACATTTTCCTACTGTTGATATTGTTCCATCTACATGCATTTGTTTTACACTTACGGAGCAGGGTTTCATAATATCCTGCTTAGAGCATTTTTGTTGTCTTTTCTGAGGATTTAGTGCCGCGAACATCTGGAGCAGCTGCTTGACAGCATTCCCACCATGTTTGAAAGTAATAAAGTGGCTGAATCTGCATTTGGTGCAGCCATTAAGGTACTTATATTTTCCCAGGGTTGCCAAATACCTTTTGTTTTTTGCTGTCCATTTTCTTCTGTTATCCACAATAGTTGTTAGCATATTATTTGTCGTTACTGTGATCTTGAGTTACTGGTTTGCTTAAGAACAAACATTGTACACCAAAGTGAGAAGTTTGGTTAACATTTTTGTATGATTGAATTGAAAAATCAAATGCTCCTCTGTTTATGTTATACCATTCAACTAATTATTATGTAGCATGCAACTTCCTGACAGCACTAGGCCATACAAGGTTTTAAGTAACTGTTAGTTCATCTTTTTAATTTTTTTTCGCTTACTGCCAGTTGTATATTTATTTTATAAATTTATTTCAGGCTTCTTTCTTGGCTATGAAGCCCACAGGAGGAAGGCTTCTTGTATTCCAGTCAGGCAAGTGTCTATGTATAGCTGGTTTTTATCTATTTAAGTGCAACAAGGGTAATTTTTCCTATTTAAGAGGCTTGTTATTAAGTTCTTTGGCGATGGTTCTCTACATATCTTATTACACTGGTTTTTTGCTGCAAGATTAGTTTTTATTGCTAGAGTGAAGCAGTTGCGATCACTAGCATCACTTATGCGAATATTACTATAATAGATTGCATAGCAGATATGACATATAAATAGACTATCAAACGGATATTTCAGCAATGGTATGTGCCTACACACAGTTCATTGTTAGCAGATCTCTGCACAGGGTTCTTGTTAATACTTCTGTTTGTTCCTGGTAGACAGTTGTTCCTTCTAAGTAATTTCTTAAAGGTTCGAAATTCTCTAATGAGGCTTTAAAAGGGAAGTTCTTTGCAGTGAGCGTCATCTGGTTTTCACCTCACCAATCACGTTTATTTTGTTATCCAGTTAAGTCCAAACTCGATTTTGAGCAGGTATGATTAAGGTCAGGTTCAGGTCATGCACCTCCCTGCCGAGACTCAAGCCTGTTAACCCTAATCTCTGAGATATGCCTTGAACAGGTCAAGACCTGAAACAGGCCACCATCGTCAGAACCTGACACACATTCGATAACCAAAATTAGTTGAACCTTGACACATATTCGTTAACCTAAAATGATGTTGAAACTTAAATTTATTGCTGGGCTTGGTTTTGGAGGGGTTGAACCATGGTGCTTCAATGCTCATCTGTTTTGATGTGTCTTGACCGTCAGGAACTCTTTGGATATGACCCCAACATTTGAAGTAATAAAATATAAGGCTTAACAATTACATTGGTCTTGAAGATCTTCATTCAAAGTCTTAGATCTTTTTGACACACGCATGCTCATGCACCCGCAAAACAGCACAATATTTATATCAAAATTCCAAAAGGTTTCTGTGTTGGACACTCCAGGGCACCTCTGTCTAGTGTCGATGTTGACATGGGTTTAACCTAGTGCAGTTTAAGGTTGAGTTCTGTACTGAACAAAACAGGCTTATGACGCATCCTCAACCTTCACCATGTTGAAGACTTGGAGAAAATGAGCTTAAGTGAGGCATCCTCAACCTCCATCATGTTTAAGTAATCAGAGTCTTAAAACTTAAGTCGCAAGCTGCTACATGAGCTGACAAGCCACATTGGAGCATTGTTAAGTTTTGATTTGTTCAGGCGAATGCCGTAGTAGGATAAACTCAGACTGCTGTTGATGATGTGACATTTAGAATTGGTATCCAATAAACTTTCTGTAAAAAAGTAGTATGAAGTATTAGATTAAAATGATGCAGGTGGGTGATAATTCCATCAGACTTCATTTTCAGAGTGAGTGATCCAAATTGCAGGTGCATTCCAAGTTTTAAGCTGTAGCCAGATTATGCAAGCTGAACTTGTAGCATAGATGCAACATATGCTGTGTTGTGTAACTGAAATAACTGGGTAGAAATTTATGTTGTATGGATATGTAGGGTCTGATTTTGCTTATGTATACTAAGTGTAGGATCGCGACCCTTAAGAATAGACTGTGCTTTTATAAAAATCTGCGGAAGCTTTACACTTAAACACTAGAGAGTGAGTTTGCAAAGTAGATTATAAATTGTAAAGAAAGAATAACAATCTCAGAAAGTGAACATCACAAACACAAACATGTATACTGGTTCCACTTCCCCGGTGTACATCCAGTCCCCAAGCAAATCCCGCTTGAGAGTTTCCACTATGATTTTGAAACCTTACAAAATCAAAAGCAAACCTGACTAATTTACAAGACCATGCAAATTATAAACCCAATTGACAACACCATGCCAATTATAAACCGACCTCTAGATCAAGAGATCAACCCCTCATAAATTGAGAGAACATTTCTTTGAAACAATGTACAATTCCAATCCTATTAGCCTTGATGTGGATGTGAACGTGTAACAGTGGCTTATCAATCTTTTTAACTCTCTGAATATTCCCTAAACAAGCTCCAAGAATGATAGGAACAAAGGCAATATTAGAAACTCTCTTTTATGAAAAAACAGATCGAAAAACTAAAAGTTTAGAGAGTTAATTTGCACAATATGTGAATCTTACAAGTGCAAAACTTGGTGCTTGTTTTATGATGTTTAAACCTATTTATAGTTTCTGAAATGACATAATTTTAAACCCAATTAACGTTCACAAAACGGCTATAAACAGTCACTTATTCAAAACCTAAAATCTGAAAAATACATCTGTAGTCGACTACAAGTCATAGTAGTCGACTACACTGAGTCTAAACTGACTCTGTGAAGTCAAAAAATTACTTAGTAGTCGACTACAAGACATAGTAGTCGACTACACTGTAAACTCAGATTCTGGAATTCTATTTTTAGTATTTTGGCTGTAACTTTCTCATCCGACCTTGGAATAAGGTGATTTAAGATTTGTTGGAAAGCTGTTGAAGAGACCTACAACTTTGGTCTTTTGAGTTTTTTTCAGATTCGAACTGCTAGGGGTATAAATAAAATGTTTTAAGACTCACTTAATATCTATAAACTCTAATGGCTAACATAAGGGATTTTTATTATTAACCAACACACTAAGCATGTGTTAGTGTATTCTAATACTATGTGTGTGCATGTGTGTGAGTGATCAAGGCTTGTATAAATTTATAAGCAAAGAAAATGTAAAATTATATTTTAACAATAAAGTATGTTTTCTTTTTTGCTTCATTTTGCCTTGAACTCATCTATGTCTTGAGTATCTCTTTGAATATAATTATTGATATAGCTCTGATACTGGCATATTACAAAACAAATGTTACCACATAATACACATAACATATAATATTTGTTATCATCAAAACAAACTAATTTTGGGGTTAAGATTCCTAACAGGATACAGATGAATGTTCTTAGCTGTTCAATGTAAAATTGTATATTAATTTAACTTTTGTAGTGAAAGTGCTTTAAAACCTTTTTTTTTTACTTTTGGATTAACCAAGGTTTTAAATGTCGGCCGACATATCGGACATGTCGGTTGACATGTCGGTTTGAGGGCTTGAGCGATACGACATGAGCGTTTTCAACTCGTATATCGGTTTTCAGGGCCATATCGGAAATATCGGGCATATCGGCTGATTTTTCAGCTTTGAAAAATCGGCTGATATGACCATTTTTTAGATCTATTTTTTGTTATCGGGTTTGGGTTTAGTGATAAAAATCCAATCCCGTTTGACCCGTTCTCATGTTTAAGGGTTTCTTATGAACCCGATAGAAAGAAAAGAGAAAAATTAAGGCTGCAAGCTTGCAGCGGACATGAGAACCCATCACTCCTTTCGTGAACGACGACGCCATTTCCTCACCTCCATCTCGGTCTCCCGTCGCCCATTTGAATTTAGGAATGTTTAGATTACATTTAGGACATGATATACATATGTGCACCACCCGATATGACAATCCGATATTTAGTCCATGTTCCCCAATATATCCCCGATTTTCGCTATCCGATATGGATTTCAGCCGTCCGACATGAACCCGACATCCGACATTTAAAACCTTGGGATTAACCGTGGTATAAGAATAAGTCTTAACATGAATTCTTAAGTGAGCACTGCTCATTAATTTATAAAATAAGCAAAGCATGAGTACAAAATATACCATTTCTCAGATAAGCTGCCTTAGAGTTTAGATGTGATATCTGGTGGAGCTCATATTTTCAGTTGTGTGGTGCCATTGTTTAATAATCCAATGTTAAGATGCCGAAAAGAATAATTTCTAATGTGATGGCTGATATGGGGGACGTATCGGAGATATGTAATAAATATCAGCGACACATCAAATAATGTCTTTGTACATATCGTTAAGACACTAACGAATTGAACTATGAAGAAAGATGATATCTTTTGCAAAACGTTTACGGAAGAATTTGGTCTAAATTATGCTTTAATTCTTCTTCGCAATTATTTACATAAGTAGATATTTCCTTGGGGTAAGACCTTAATTAAACCATAAAATCCAGAACAATTTTTTCAGACAAATAAAATCCCGAATCGATATTGCAACATTTTAGTCAATTTTTTAAGGATGGAATGTCACCTGTTATATTGTGAAATTCATGATATATCAGTAAAATATTGTCAAAAAGCGCTAAAGGATATTGAGACCATCTTGTTTGCAGTAAACCTTATAAAAGGATATATTAGGGATTTTTAAAACAAAGATTGGTCCTAGTTCTCCAAATTGCCTATAAAAAAGGAAGACTTTTGAATTGATGGGGGAGAGGTATCTTTATCGGGTAGCAAAAGTGCAGAACAGGTTGCTGACTAGCATATTTTCAACAATGATCTTTTAAGGTGACAAGCTGCGAAACTGATACAAGTGGTCATGTTGAAAAGTTAATGGAACACATTAACATGGCTAAGCATATGAGAGAGGAATGAAAAGCTAGTGAGCCACAGTTGAGCTGATTCATTCAGGTGTAGCTAATGTAAGACCTACAACAACCTGGAAGCCAGGACAATAGTCCCTCTAAATTATCACTATTTAAATCTTAATAGTGTAGTTCTGCGAATTTGAACAAATGATATGTGAAATACTGCATTAACAGAAGGAATTCTGTAGAAACATCTTTCCCTTTATGTGTGTAAATAATTGAAATTGGCCTAACTATAGGCTTAAACAATAATGATAAACCAAGAAACACTTATAATGCAAAAGTGCAGATAGTTCAATCGAAGTCATTGTAACAACAAGTTGGGGAGTGGTTATGAGAAAGACACAAGGTTCTTTGTTCCTGTGCAGATTTGAAGGTCAAAGTAATTTATCTAGTATAGTTGGTGTATCTAAGGTGTATAAGTCATGCAAGTTGTGTGGGTATTAGTTGATTGACTGAAAATTTGGTGGATACATCAAGAAAGATGGACATAGCCTTGTAAGCAAAGTAGTGGAGCTTTGTCTTAGAGGAGAATTTTTTGAGGGAAGTGAAGTACTAAAACCTTTTTGTTAATTCTATTTTTTCGGAGAAACATCTTTTATAATCCAATGTACTAAGTTTGCTAACGTAATCAAATGATCGAAAAATAACATCACAGCTTGTAGTATCTATGTTTAAAATGTCCTTGTTTTGAAAGCCCACCAACGAACATGGTATTTACAAAATTACATGTGATACTAAACTTATTCATTCACAACAATAAGAAAAAAACACGGAATTAAGAAATGTCAAAGAGCATAATTGCGATTATGAACTTCTGCTGTAGTTACAATAAATTTATTGTTAGCTGTGGCCATTATGTCTGGGGGATCAATTTGTGAAAGAGGATAGAAGAAACTAAAAGAGACAATCAGAAGTGAGATAAGGTGATGTAGGAAAAGACACTAATGGAATACAATGCAATATGAAATCAATCCATCTACTATGTAAGAACAAGCCTAACCACTAGCTGAATGAACGCCCTCTATATGCTAGGTACTTATATGGAAATGCAGTCTTAAGTAGTGTAATGAATAGTTGGGCAATGAGATTCAATCTATAATAATATTAAAAAATAACTACAAGGTTATAGGATTAAAGAATTACTAATGAAAGTCACAATTAAATTATGGTTCTTCCAAGGTTATTAGGATTCACATCCAATTGTATAACCCTGCATACTGCCTGATAATGAATTGACTCTTGAGCAATTTTTTGTTAATCTCACATGGGTTATGATAGTCAAGAAGGTCAACCCATCACAAACAAAAAGTGAACTTAATCCACAATGGTCATAGCATGTTAGAATCAATAAGAAGGGGTCGACAGGTTGAAAATGGATCAGAGATGTCAGAAGATTGTAGATGGTGGAGAAGCCTACGGCATTGATGAGATCTGTTTGAGGCTGTGAGAGTATGACATGCTGTCAAACTTCGTTGGTATCAAAGTCAGAAACAAACAAGGTTTAATGGATTTGTGGGGATCTATTTTTTTTGTTGTGAGCAGAAATTTCCAAGCATAAGATGTTTTGTTGTGGCTGGAAAGTTAAAAATATGCTTGTAGCATTAATTTCTGCAACAGTTAAAACAAAAATTTGACGAACATGTCAGATAGGATATGATTGGAGAGCTAGATATGAGAAAATCACTTCTTATAATTAAGGATATGCTCCAAGGCAATCTGAAACAAGATATGTTGCTGGACTTCTGGAGCCTTATCCTATCGAATAGTACTGTTGTATACATTTTTAAAAAAAAAATTATACTGGAAACAAGCCTACTCTTATAAATAAGTATAACAATTTTCATGTATATCATTTACAACTGGTTAGAATTGTAGGGAATTACTAAAATCTTGTGTCCGCTAAATTCGTGTGTTATCCTAATATTAGGAGCTCTTTTGGTATGTGAATTAATGTTCCTTTTAGAAGTACATATCTGTTCAGAAGTTTTTCCACATGTTGGGAAAGGAATATCTGGGGCCTTTTCAAGGTAAAACATTATAAGATGGTGGCTTCAGGTGGGATTGGTGTGAATTTTTCTGTTCAAAGGGTCTTCTTCAAATTTGCTTTTTGGCTGAATGCTGAGGAAAATTTTCTCATTTTGTTTGTTACGCAAATGGTTCCTAACTCTTTTCTCTGACTTTGTCATTACAAATAGAGATGCTAAAAGCTTTATCCAATAGGACCACAGATATTGTTCAAGTTTGAACCACACGAAAGTGAGCTTGTAAGTCTGCCTTTGCTTGATTTAGAACATAGTTTTGCTACATCTTTGGGGTGAAAAAGAAAATATGGAAATGCGTGCATTGACAGTAAATATGACCCTATTGAATAAATTGTAATCCAGATAGTGGTTGAAGTTAAAGACCATGTCCATGACTACACATTCTTGTTCAAGCTTGTTCTTAATTTGAACTATGATTAAAGTTTAATGCTTGTAATTTGTGTCAAAGGGGTGTTTAAAAAGTGTCAGAAATGTGTCTGACAAGTAACAAAGAGCAGTTTGAGTTTGAAATATAAGTTAAAGACAGTTTTGAAAGTGCACTATGTGTTCAAGGAGTGTGTGCAAGAAGTACCTTAGAAATGTTGAATTTGATGTGTCCAACACTAATGTACTGCTGATACCTCCTGATGCTTGACTTTTTATTATTCACATAGCTTCGAGTGCTCTGTAAAACCAATTTGCATAATTTTTTTGGCCGTTGCCTATCTATCTTCCTGGTTTCTTTTGCATAATTATCTTCTGCAACAGATTTTTCACTCTTTCTCATGATTTTAGCACAACAGGCTCTAATTTAGTTTGTTCTCATGATAAATTACTCTGGGGGTACAAAGTGTGGCAGGACAATTTTCTACTACTTTATCTTTTTTAAAATCCAAGCAGTCCTCTTCATTGGGAGAAATGTAGATGCACCTTTCCTTCTTGACATATTCGAACTTTATCACAAAGTGAATAATTCGTCAAGTTATTTTATGTACTTTATAAGTTAGTGTTGGAAATTTATCGTAATTTGTGATATTCTATATCATTTAGTTCACAGAGTTTGGATATTTTTTTAAATAATCATCTTTGGATAATTACATTGTCTTTCTTTCAGTATTGCCGTCTATTGGAATTGGATCCCTTTCTTCACGGGAAACTGATGGGCGAACAAATATCAGTTCCGGAGAAAAGGTACGCCTAAAATTTGTTAAAATATGCCCCTCCATTATCTTTTGAAACTATTATAAATCTTACACAGATGCCAGTGTATTATAAATCTTACACAGATGCAAGTGCGTTTTATAATGATAATATCCTCCACTTGTACTTCAGGAGGCTCATAAATTGCTCCAGCCTGCAGACAAGGCTTTGAAAACTATGGCAATAGAGTTTGCTGAGTATCAGGTAACAGGCCCAAACTCGCTATATTGTTTCCAGATGACAATAGACTAAATCTGAATTTACACCTTTTTAAAATGCGAAAATGGCACTCTTATATGGGAATAAGTATTTTTTCCCCTCATATGGAAATGCTGAGTTTGTTTATGATATTATTACCAGGTTTGCGTTGATATCTTCATTACTGCTCAGACATATGTTGACATTGCTTCCATCTCCACCGTACCGAGAACTACTGGAGGACAGGTATAGTGTCCTCAACTAAATAATGCAGTTACATTCTGAAGATGCTGCGAAAACTATGAAAGCAGTATATGTTAATTTGGTGTTTAATGCTTTTATTTTCTGCTCTTTGGTACCTTCCTCTTTCTCGCTTTCAAAATCTGACAAATTCAAAATGAAGCATGTAAAAGTTTTTTTGCATGGCCACTTCTAGCCTAGTGATATCTATTCAATGTGGAATAAGAAAAGGCCATGAAGGGTGCCTTGGTGGCCTCTTTAATGCTCCCACATTCAAGGTCCAAATTTAAACATATTCAGAGTGAAGCACATAAAACCTTTTTTCCATTGTCACTTCCAAACGAGTGATATTTATTCAGCGCCAAAATAAAAAAGGCCGAGAAGGGTGCCTAGATATGGAGATGTTTGCGATGAAGATATAACAAGATAGTTGCAGTGCGACAGGTACTCGTATCTAGTAGTTATAGGGGAGATGACTGATATGGAGTCTTCCATAGTTCCATGGCTGGTGCAAGATGCATATTTCCAGCTCGTAGTAAGATGCGATAAAATACTAGTAATTAAGGGTTTTGATGACTGATGTGGAATCTTTTTTGGATGCTGTAAAATGCATGTTCCCAACTCTTCATAAGATGCTAGTGGAAAATCACGCTATGTGTGTGAGAGAAGGATTATGCAGTTCTGATAATCCCTTAAAAATACATAATATCATTACCCTATCAGCAGTGATATTAATAAGCATATATCATATGTAATGATGCTAATCCTCATTACTCTTCCTTTGTTAAGTACTAATCATAGAGGTGATCAGCTAATATAAGCCATACAAATCCTAAGCTGCTTTAGTCCCGTTTTAATATTTTGATGGTACGAATGTGTTCTTAAGTTGATTAAGAAATTGATGAGAAGTCAATTTGTCTTTAGGTGATGTAACAAGGGATTTAGGTCTAGCAAAAGATGATAAAGAAGTATAGGTGGTGAATCAATGGTTGGCGTTCTTGTGTCACTGTTTGCCCGAGGCGAAGCATGTTTCTGGGTCAATGCCCACAGTGAGATTCAAAGTTGAGTACGTCATATATTTGTATTTTAACCAGTTTTGGACTGAGAGATTTAAGACATCAAGCAGTAACAGATGCTAAAAAGAACCAACAGCTGAGTGCACATCCCCAGATCATGTCGGACTATGATCTGAGTTACTCTCCTGTTCAGATATACTTGGATACTTATTTCATTGGTATACGCAATATAAACTACATCTCGATTTAACTGCTAGCTTGCTTTAGTAGAGAATGCTGTGGCAATATGGAGGAAAAGCCATTAAATCCAGGTGGTATATGGTTGACGTATATCCTGGAAGAAGAGGGATACCAAACTTCTTGGGAAGAAAATACTCACATATGTCTTATATTTGAGAGTTCTTAGAAACCTCTCAAAACTAGAATTAGAATTCGACTATTATTTTTGACTTATTCATAGAGTATTTTCCTTCTCCAATCCTATATTTAATTCCTGCACGTAATCTGTACCCACAGCTAATGTTTCTTCCCTTTATTTTAGTGCTAAAAATGCTGTTCTTCAGTGGGACCTACTCTATTTTATATCTTGCAGGTGTACTATTACTACCCATTTTCTGCTCTTTCTGATTCTGCTAAGCTCTACAATGATCTTAGATGGAACATTAGTAGACCTCAAGGGTTTGAGGCTGTGATGCGGGTTCGATGCAGCCAGGTTGGTTTTCTATGATCTCAGCTTATTTCCTCACTCTGATTCTTATTTGTGTGACGAGAGTTCTTCATTCTTCCTCATTATCCCCACGTCTTAACAATTGTTAAATTTTAGGGTCTTCAAGTTCAAGAATACTCGGGAAACTTCTGCAAGCGAATTCCAACTGACATTGACCTTCCTGCAGTTAGTACTCTCATGCCATACCTTTATTGATTATTATTCTTTATAAGGCTTTCTTTCTTTCTTTTGACTGTAATCCTCAAATAACTGCATGATTGATCTACACTATTGTCATTAATGGAAAGATAAACTGCTATTTGGGGGCAGACATAGGAGATATTTTGGTGACGATATTTTAGGGCGTTGTAGTACCATCTAGATATAAAAGAAAGTTTGTTTAATGACGATAGAAACTTGATGAACAGTAACCTTCTCAAACGTCTTTGTTAAGCTCATCCAGCTAAATCTTGTAAGTGAAGCTAAAGAAGATTTATTATTGCATTTCATTTTTCTTTGTTATTACTAGTGTGCACCATGTACAAAGCACGACCCTCTTTTTTTATTCCCGCTATAGAAATTCTTTTTTTAAACACTACAATATTTTTTTGTTAAATGCTACAATATTTTTTAAAATGGCACAAGATTCTGTTTTTGTGCTACAGTGATATCGCTATGGTAATTCCATGTATTATTTACTGCAGCATGAATAGTGAATATTTGAATCCTCCTATAAGTATAGAGGAGTAGATTACTTATTATTCATTTGGCTGATGTTATCATATCCATCCATCCAACTTTGTACTAATATGTTTTCTGCAACCTTTTCCACCGGCCATCAATCAATGCCTTTCTCCTGTTGGCTATTCTTAGGAAAATCCTGTTGGCTATTCTTAGGAAAATGTTTCATTTGAATTTGACTTTCTTTGAATTCCATATTTTGTTTAATGTTATTATTGAAGGAAGAATAATGGATATAAAATAATAATAAATGTTTAAAGATATATGGGAAATAAAAGCTATCCTTGAAGGAAGAATAACGTGGTACAAAAATAAATGCTTGAAGACATGGGAAATAAAAGTTATCTTTAGTGATCTTTAGATTTTCTCTATTTCAACATGGTCAGCAGAAGCAATTCTATTGGTTAGACAATTAAAAGAAAAGACTTATTTCATCGATGTAATGTCAAGTAGTGCTACCTCTCTTATTGAAATGGTAACTATATTATTTCTCTTAGGAACACTGTTTTAACGTCTTCCTGGATAAATTATCTGGAATTCTAAAAGATTCCATTAAAAGCTCAAGCTATGCAAGGGAGAAACTTTTATTGTCTCTTCATTACTGTGCCATTCTCTTTATATATCCTTATTTGTGGTGGTCATCTTGCTGTAGCGCAGGGTGTTTTCGATACTCTCTAGCTAATAGTTTCACCCCTCTTATTATCAAGAGGTTTATATTAACACTTCCTCTAGCACTTTTCTTTTTTACGAGAACTATTGGATGTTCTCTTGGTTGCATAAGCCCAAACTAATGACAAAGAATGTACACTGAACCCAAATTTGCAAGCCGTAACTAGAACTTGTATAACCCTCTAGATGATTCATCACAGATTTTTGAATCAATATAATATTGAATTATTAATTCAATCTAGACAAGTAAAAGACAAGATAAAATTTGAGAAAATAAATTCTGTAGTTGGTTCTTATTAAATATTGGGTTCCCTTAGCTTGTTCAATAATGTCAAAGGAGTCTAAGGTCTATGATGATTTGAATCTATGCAACAATTTAGTTCAAACCCCCTACATGGTTAAAGTCAATAAAATAAAGACGATTCGTTGAGATATCCCTATATAATATGATCTATTGGACCAAACTAGAAGGATAAAGAGACAAGACCAACCAACCACTGAACTCTATTAATAACTAATTTCTAATTGATTAGATTTTTATTGTGGATGCAAAAGGATTATTTTTCAGCATTGCAAACTTGTGTTATAAGCATGTAAAAATTTAAATTTAAAGGGTATTCTTTCGGTTATATTGAATAATTCATTGCTTAATCACAAGCTCTGCATTTCTTTTTTCTTTTAGTGTTTCTCCAATGTAAAATGATAAAACTAAACTATTGTACTTCGGATCTTCTATAGGCAACCAAGGAGTCAGACTTATAGACACCTAGAGTCTGGGTGGCTAGCTAGGACACTAGGCGGTTTATTATTATTATAATGATTAATAATAAATGCCAATTGTATAGAAAGTGCTAGGCGTCATTAGGCACCGGACTAACACCTAGCGCCTAGGATTACTTTCTATGTTAATTGGTGGCAGAGGAAGTTTTACTAAAGGTCAGAGGAGGTGTTCATAGATAGTGGAAGTGTCCGGAGGACTCCGGTGAAGGTTGAAGGACGTTGAGGCTGCAGCAGAGGAAATCAAGACTAAGACCTAAGCCTTGCAGTTCGGGTAAGCGGCCCACACACCGTTAGGTGCCCTAGGCGGCGCCTAGGCGGGCTTGGTGATTGCTTTTTAAAATATGACTGTTGTTAACATAGGCAATGTTGACCAACTTCAGATCAAATGAGCATGCTGATTATCCAACATATGACCTCTAACAAACTTTAGTATCCCCAGTACTTCCCAGCTTGGGCCGAATGACTATGCCACTGACGGCGGTAGTAGCTAAATAAACTGGAAGGGAAAGCCTGATGATTGAAGGGAAATATATTATTTTACTCAGAATTCTGAAATGCTTTTGTTTTTGTTTTTTCTTTAACTTTTTTTATGTTTACAAATATACTTGTGTATATGTGATAAATAGATTTTAGGTTATAATTGCATTAGTAGTAGCGGTTGTGGTGGTGCCATGGTGGTGTTGGTGGGTAGTAATAACATTACCATAAATTTTAGATTACAATAGTAAGTGATAGTAGTGGTTGGATGGTGGTGTTGGTAGTTAGTAGTGATATCATTACCATTTAAATGTCTTTTAGTGTGTGAGTGTGTGTATTCCTAATATTGGTAGCCTAAATTAGTTAAATGCTAATAAATGACACCTGATTTAACCGTGACGTGCTTCTCATCTCTACTGCAAATTTGTTCCAGCACTTTTGTTTTCTGATAAACACGGAGTTAACATACTGACATTTTGTATGCTGCTGAACTGACAAATGAAATATTGATAGAGAAGATGAGAAGATCTAGGTTGTACATGTATGGGTACGGGACATGGAAAAGTTGTAAAAGGTAGGGCACAAGGACACTGCCACCTTAGATTGAATCTAAGGATGCACCTTTAGAATTAGATTATACGCAATCAATTTACTTGATCCATTCCGTTCATTTTGATTTATATGATTCAGATGTCATATAATTAAAAAATTAGGCATATTAGGTTGTATTTTCTAATGCATCAAGTGATAGTAAAATTAACGGTTTTATGACAACACAATCAAAGAGACAATAAAAAATATATGCTAGAAGTATTCAAACATGATTTTTATTTTATAGATGTTTTAAGACATTTAGATCATGATGAATGAAGCGGATCGTCCATTGAAATAGTCTAATCCATGCATCGAGAGGTGCATTCTTAGATTCAATCTAAGATGACTCCTTAGAATCATATTTTCCTATATATATTCTTAGGAAATAAAATGATCAAGAGACTTGGGAAGTGATTGAAACAAAGGGTTAGCGTATTCTTTTCAGAATTTTGAAATAAAGTCCCTAAGTTAAACTTAGTTTTACATAACTACAATGAAAAGATTTTCTAAGAAATTTACTTTTGAGTTATGCATAAAAATATTTTTTGAGTAAACAAATTAGATTTAATTAGATTGTTTAAAGATATCAACTGAATTAATTCTATATTGACTTCTTCAAATTGGCAAATTGACTGAATATTATGAGTTTATTCATTGCAAACCTTTACGAGAATACAACTCGTCCTCTAGGATAACCTAGGGGTTTAAAGGCTTGTTGTATGTGCTAAATATAACTGTGATTCCTGCAAGACTAAGTTAGGATTTATTTTTTTATTTTTAATTTTTATTTGTATTATTTATTTATTTTGCTAGAGAACTAACAAAAGCTTAGGTATGGGGATATTCGATTATTATATTTTAAATTGGGCTACTTTAATGGACGATCCGCTCTATTCATCATGATCTAAATGTCTTCAAACATCTACAAAATAAAAATCATGATATGTGAATATTTCTAACACATTTTTCATTGTTTGTTGTGTTGTCATAAAACTGTTAATTTTACTATTACTTGATGCATTAGTAAAAACTACCTAATATGCCTAATTTTTGATTTACATGATATCTAAATCATATAGATCAAAATGAACGGAATGGATCAAGTAAATTGATTGTATATAATCTAATTTTTAATGTGCATCCTTAGGTTCAATCTAATGTGGGCTTCTTAGATCCATATATATATATAATATATATATAATATATATATATTTATATTTTATATATATATTAATATGAGAATAATGAGCTTGAGAGCTAGCAGTCACTCACCCGTGGAGCTGTAAGTTATATAAATTGAGCCCCTAACTAGTCACATTCAGTGTGGGGCTTACTGTATATACTTGGCATTTATGGGAGAGGTTGAGTGCTAGCTCACCTCTATTATTCTCTCTCCTATACTATTAATAGTTCGATTGTTTAGAGGAGATTTCCCTCCTTGCGCTATGTGGGAGAGTCTCACTATCGCTCTATAAAGTAGGCAGGCAAATCGTCTATCAACTCACTACACTCATAACTTTATGAGGTGGTAGGAATTTGTCACATAGGCGTCAAGGAGGAAATACCCTCCCTATGAAAAGGATATCCCATTATCCGATATATATATATATATTATATAGTATTATATATATAATATATAATTATATATATATTAATATATAATATATATATATAGTTATAGTATATCCTAGTTTTTGTGCACATGCAATGCACGTGGTTAAATATCAAAATTATTTATTTTCTTACTATAAAATAAGTCAGATTCATTTTGAGTTAAAATCTATAACATAGATTATTACATTTGCCATAAATTTTATTTAAATATTTTAAAAAAAATTTGTGAAATAGATTTGTGTTAAACAGTGATCAATATACTTTTATATACTTGCATACACAACATTATTTTTTTTAATTTATATATATCAAACTTCATGAAACATATTTGTTTATTGGATCAAATCATCGATCTCCAATTTGTTTATCTTAGTCATAAAATGTAGTGTTAAGTTTGAAAAAATACAATAATATATTATTGATGTGTTAATAAATATATAACCAAATACTTAATATTAAGATGGATTATATAAGTTTAGCACAGAGCACATACTTTTCACAATACTGCAAGATATCTTAAATATTGATAGATTTAAAATAAAAAAATAAATACTAAAGATTAATGATATTTCTAGTATAATTTTATATGACAAAAGCATTCACATAAGCATATTTAAAATTTTGCGTGAAAATTCCTTCAAAAAATTCCTAATTTTACTCAAAATTAGGAATTTTAAGCTTTACTATAAAATATTCAAAAAAAATTTATCCTTTATTCCTTCTTGTTTCATATTTAATTGAGCCGATATCAATTTTTCTCCACCTTTATCTTTATCCTAGGCAATTCTACAGTAATATCTTTATCATCTCAAGCAATTGTGATATCAGGTTAGTACATAATAAGGAGTAAAAGATATGATAAGAGTCTAGAAATATATTAGGATATAATTGGATCAATCAAATTATATTATTACTCATAATTGATATGTATTAGAGACAAAATATGTTGATAATTTTAAACAATAAAATAGACTGTATGAACGCTCTAACATAACTCTTTTAGTGTAAACAACCCTGATCAAGACTAATTTTAAAAATCTCTTGGGGTCAGGAATAAACAACTAATAAGTTTGCAGTGAAAGCTAGTGGAACGTAGTATATTCTTAAGAATTATTAATTTTTACTTAATTTATTTATAATGATAGGATCTCATTATTAACTAACTACAAAGCATAGTACATTATTTTTTTATTGGACGTTCAAGACAGGCAGAGGACCCATGTGAGTTTGCATCGCAATGAGTGTTATATAATTTAAGTACAAAGAAAAAAGAAGAGTTGATCAATTGTGTAGTTGGCGTGGAGTTCTAGTAGCTTAATTTGGGTATGCGGATATATTATAGATGGAGATGGAGAATGGTGGTTTGAAAACGGTGGGTGTGTGTGGGTAATTAATATATTTTTTATTTGTGTGATTTTCTTCGTTCATTTTCAATATATTTGTGGTCATGTGGATATCTATATAGCTATAATATTGCTACTCTCTTTTGGTTTTTCTGAAAGAGTATTAGTGTAAAGAAAAAAATTTAAATTATCTAATCTGGTTAAAGTAGGATCATATAAGTTAATCATATATGTGAAATTTATTTTAACCAACACTCATATGTAAGTATTACAATTGACGTTGAGATCTAAGATACGTGTGAGATTTTCTTTGATTTTTATACAAATAGCATCTATTTAAATAATAATATTATAATTAAACTCTGTGATCTAAAAAAAGATTAAACATATAATATAATCAATTTCTTTAAAATAATCTAATATAATCTTATAAGGAAAAAATATATGAAAGTAATGTAAAAACTGATGTAATTTTATAATTCATAATTTTTAAACAATCTAATCTAATCTAATAAGAAGAAAACAACAAAGACACATACCTGTTGAAGGAGATGAAAGTGCTGCGAAAATTATTGTAATTTCTTGATCTAAGAAAAGATCAATCATACAATATAATTAATTATTTTAAAATAATCTAATCTAATAAGAAGAAAATAGATATGAAAGTGCTGTGAAAATTATTGCTATTTCTTAATATAAAAAGATTAAATATAAAATATAATTAATTACTTTAAGATAATCTAATCTAATTTAATAAGAAAATAATAAAGACACATCTGTAAAAGGAGATGAAAGTGCTATGAAAATTGTTATAATTTTTTAGCTTATATATATTAGTATGTAATGTTGCATGTGAGAGGATAATAATTGTAAATAGAGTTCTATTTAAATAATAATAGTATAATTAAACTTTAAAACTAATTATGCACTACCATGAACTACTTGAATTTTAGTCGGTGAGAGATCACTATGTTGTGTCCTCAAATCACAGCCGTTTGTTTTAACTTTCGTTTTTTATTTTTGAGAATGATTTTGTCTCTTCAATTTGTTTGATGGATTTTGCTAATACCATGTCCACATTATGTACATTTGTAGGTCTGCACTGCTCCTGGGTTCGATCTTTAGAGTAGACATTATTTTACCTCGTTAAATTGTTTGGTTTATGCATATACGCCCTTCTGGGTTCGATCTTTAGAGTAGACATTATTTTACCTCGTTAAATTGTTTGGTTTATGCATATACGCCCTTCATCTTGTAAACATTTGTGAATTTGTTATTTTACCTCGTTAAATTGTTTGGTTTATGCATATACGCCCTTCATCTTGTAAACATTTGTGAATTTGGTATTTAATAATTTCATTCAGATTTACATTTCAATTTAAACTATATCTTTATCTTCATACTATGTATATTTAATAAGAATTCACCAATTTATCAACTTCCTCTTACTTAATTAGTATTTGAATTTCAAGGGTATTTTTGTCTACCGAAAGATTTTTTCAAACTCGTGCTTTTAAAAAGGAGTATGATATGATGTATATATATATATATAGAGAGAGAGAGAGAGAAATATGGGTATGTTTGGTACCAAGCACAAATTTTGTGTTTGGTAGTGAGGTGGCACAATCCCTTCCATTCATTTAAATAGGGGATCACATTCACATGGGTTGAGGAGTGCATGAGGATAGGCAATCATTTGAATGAGTGGAGGGGATTATACCACCTTACTACCAAGCACAATTTTTTGTGGTGGCACAATCCCTTCCATTCATTTAAATAGGGGATCACATTCACATGGGTTGAGGAGTGCATGAGGATCACATCTATTTCTTATATATTGATGTTATGTGAAAGAGAAAACAACATTGATCCTATGTAAATTATTGTTTTTATATATATATATATATATATATATATATATTAAAACAATAATTTACATAGGATCAATGTTGTTTTCTCTTTCACATAACATCAATATATAAGAAATAGATGTGAACTGTAGAATAGACATCCAAGAAGTGTATGAGAAGTGTTTTAAATTAAAACATGTATAATATGGTTGAGTATATGCCCAAATAAACATATGCATATATCCAAGAAGTGTCTAAGAGGTTTGGGTACGGGTACGTGTCGGGTACAGTTTCCTAGTAGAAATACAGGTAACATAGGAGAAAATGAAGGAAAACTATGGGTTTAAACAAAACCAAGAGCCCAACTTTTTGTATGTCTTTATCTTTGATAATTAAGACAGTAAATGCTTGTTGTGAAACCTAATTGTATGCCATGGATGGATGAGACTTCTTGTATACTTGTTCTTTCTACTTCGACCTGTGTTTGAGCAACTGCTGCTGTTTGATATATATTATAGAAGTAACGTACTAAGATTTCTTTCCATATTTCTGGGTTTGACATGATATGAAATGCTTACAAATGAGAAGAAAACCAAGAACAAAATCTCAAGCAATTCTAAATAATGATGACATCATTTTTTTTGTATGTAATTCTCTCTCGCCTAATGATGTTGCCGATTAAGGCATTGAATTCTTCTCTTGATCTTAATTTACAGTTAAGAGAGGGTGACTCCTATGTGTTTCTCTAAGTAATCCATATTCAAATCAGAATAAGCTTTAAAGTCCTTTAATTCCCAGTGCTTTCTGTATATCTTTTTTCGTTTCCACTAAACATTTTACTTCAATGTCATTACTTAACTCAGGCCACTATCTATAACTTACAATTATCATATATGAGTTAGTCTTTTGTTTTCCTTAGAATTACTAATCAGATATTGCCTATTTTAACTTCTCAGAAATATTTAGTCTGTTTATGCCTGATTAGTTGCAAAGTGGTTGGAATAATTAATATTTACCAAGATTTAATAGTATGAAAATTTAGCAGTTTGCTTTAGTTCTTATCATGTTTGCTTTTAATGCAGATTGATTGTGACAAGGCCATAATGGTAACGTTCAAGCATGATGATAAGTTTCAGGAAGATTCCGAATGCTCTTTTCAGGTACGGAATGTATCTTTATTCAGTGACGAGTGTCTGAATGATAATTACCACTTCGGCGTGGTTGCCCCATGAATTAGTTTGGTGCTGCTTTTGGGTATTAGAAGAAGAAAGATTGTTACTTTCAAGAAGTAATCTTAGACATTTCTATAATAACTTTGTTCTTTTTTTTGCCCAGTGTGCCCTTCTTTACACTACAATCTATGGACAACGAAGAATTAGAGTTTCAAATCTGTCGCTTCCTTGTACAAGCATGCTTAGCAATCTGTTCCGTGCAGCTGATTTAGATACACAATTTTCTTGTTTTTTGAAGCAAGGTAAATTTACCTACAGTTTATTGTTGATGCTTGTGCTGTTGATCAAGTATTTTACATTCTTTTGGCAATATAACTATTTTCTCAAATGAAATGGAATGCTTTGAAATGGCAATTAAACTTGTACATGATCTAGTTTTGCTACTGTACGACTATGAAATTTTCTTGTAAAGTTCTTCGCTTTACATATTCGAAAGTTTCGGAGAACTACATTAATATTATTATCGTCTTATTAGCTGCAAGCGGCATCCCAGTCAGCCCTCTTTCTCATGTTCGGGAGCAAATTACAAATCTTTGCATCAGTATCCTGCACTCCTATCGTAAATTCTGCGCCACAGTTTCATCATCTGGACAATTAATTCTTCCGGAAGCTCTCAAGTTTCTACCTCTATATACCCTAGGTATGTGCTACTATCTTCTAATCTGTCATACAAGTTGATGAATATGCTACTTCATCTTTTTTTTTTATCAGAATTGTTTTTCTAAAGCATATGCTAATGCTATATGGAATGTAGCGTGTATGTCCGTCTGTGCGCTCACTTTGTGCATATGCATATTCTTGGCTTCGTATTTCAGTCAGTGTGTGAATGAATTTGTGGTTCATGCTCTTTTAAGCTGCATAATTTATTAACTACTCGCTAACGTTATTGATGCATTTCAACCTGTGGAACATTTTAAATTGGAGGTGGTTATGAATAATATAGCTATATCTTCAAAATTTAAGGCCGTTTATATATTCGTAACTTCCATATAATTCTATACGACAGCTCGTATGGCACTTCACATCTCGGTCTACAGTAATTTTGATTCTATGTTTATATTCACTAAATGTCTTAGATAATTTGTCACTTTTAACTTTTGCATGAGTTTGTTTATTGTTGAGCATCTACTTTACCTTTAGTTACTTCTGAAGTCGTATTGGCTCTATCTACGATGTATCTTCCATTCTCATTGACTTGTTATTGCAGGACTATGAACATTTAAACTATCGTTTTCAAGGATAGTTCTCGTCACTATTACCTTGAACAATTGATGTATAGTATTTGACTCACCAAGTATCTTCACCATTGACCTACAATTCTTACCTACTTGACAACCGTCTTCTTGAAAAGCATCATCAATTTTTTATTATAATGCACTTGAGCTATGTGATTATCTCTAGTAGGTATATCCGAGGCGTGTTGATTTTGCAGTGTTTAAATGTCAAACCTTATCTAAAGGGATAATAAAAGAATAGATAACCTTATTGTAGATGACATGGACTACAACCAAACAGACTTCACGGGAAGGTTAATGGGGTATTCTAACACCTGGTTCTGTCACAGGAGAATGAAAGATTTATAGAAATAATTTTAGCTAGCTGAACATGCTTGGAGTATCTATGTCTATAATTGTGCACAATAAATCATATCCAGTACATTGTCAAGCTTCTACTCGATGTTGAAAACAGCAATAAAACATAATGTGATGCACTGATGCTCACCTCCCGTTAACGAAAAGCGACAAAAACATAATGCATAACGTAGGTTAAGTGATTTATTAATTATTTAAATATTTATATGAACAATTCATAATGATTTTAATAATTATAATCATCACAATTTTCATACCAAATAATATAACATCACAATTATCAAATACACTCCCACAATTTCTTAACATAAATTAGGCATTATGCTTAACAAACATTCTGAAAGCATCAATTACTGCAAGTTCAAACCAAAATCATGTAAGCTTTAACAAAATGAGTACAATAATTAATTGTAAAGTAATCAGCAAGGTTTTAAATGTCAGCCGACATATCGGACATGTCGGCCGACGTGTCGGTTTGAGGGCTTGAGCGACATGACGTGAGCGTTTTCAACTCGTATGTCGGTTTTCAGGGCTATATCGGAAATATCGGGCATATCGGCTGATTTTCAACTTTGAAAAATCGGCTGATATGGCCTATTTTTTGATCTATTTTTTGTTATCGGGTTTGGGTTTAGTGATAAAAATCCAATCTCGTTTGACCCGTTCTCATGTTTAAGGGTTTCTTATGAACCCGATAGAAAGAAAAGAGAAAAATTAGGGCTGTAAGCTTGCAGCGGACATGTGAACCCATCACTCCTTTCATGAACGACGACGCCCTTCCCCCACCTCCATCTCGGCCTCCCGTCGCCCATTTGAATTTAGGAATGTTTAGATTACATTTAGGACATGACATACATATGTGCACCACCCGATATGGCAATCCAATATTTAGTCCATATCTCCCGATGTATCCCCGATTTTCGCTATCCGACATGGATTTCAGCCGTCCGACATGAACTCGACATCCGACATCCGACATTTAAAACCTTGGTAATCAGGATAAGTACATAAATCAAAATTATGTCAAAATCAGTTTATTCAGACCAGTGTTTTAATCTAAATTAAATTCAAGAATTATACTTAATTCAAAAACAACACACTAATTTATCATTTTATCTGACTTCTAAAAGTAAACTAATTATAAAAAAAACTAATTTCAAAACAATCTATAGTTTATAATTTGAAATCTTAATGAAAATAATCAGCCAAAAAAATGGTAGTAAAAATATCAGCCTAAGAGACAAAAGAAACTTAGTGTTCAGTTTTGTTGGCGTCAAAGAAGGGCAGCTGCATCCTCGCCTCTCAGTAAGTTGCCTTTGTCACGTGGCTTTCATTGTCGCTTGGTATCCTTGCTCTGTTGTTGTTCTGTTGGGTTTCCTGCAAGTCACGAGAAAGCGAGAGTTTGAAGACCATAAGGGAAAAGGGGGGATCCACCAAGTACTAAACCCTGTTGAGGACTATTGTGCTTTACCAGATGCTAGGGGGACACGCTCTGTATCTCTTGTTAACCACAAATAACCAACTCTAAGCTGATCCTACGCCTTTTTCTCAATGCAATATAGTGGAAAAGCATTGTTCGATTAAGAAAAACACTTTCATATTTCACAACGCATTTTTTTAATACATTGCTTTGAATCATCATTTGTAAAGTTGGTACTTTTGTAGGAAAATTCTCAAATAGGTAACTAGCAAGTATTAGCCAGATAATGAATATGATAAAATAAATTCTAAAATAAGTAACTAGTAAATAACTAAGTATTAGCCAGATAAAGAATATGATAAATCAGACTTCTTTTTAGGGTTTTTCTTCTAGGGAACCACCGCTTACTTGGGCCCCTATTTCACGTTACCACCCTTGATTATTCAAATTTCGGAAAACCACCCGTATCAACCATTTCTTCAACATATAACCACCCATGTACAGATGTACTTTCCCATTAATTTTTCACCCCAAAAATCATAGTTTTGACAGTTTTACTCCTATACTAGTTTAAGCTTCGTTGAACTTTGGGGATCAAAGTTCAATTATATTGAACTCTGGGTATTGAAATTTAAATCTTTGTTGAAATTGAGTATCCAAATCATTAAATTGAGGTATTTAACTTTGATACCCGAAGTTTAACAACATTAAACTTTTGTAGAGGTAATGAAAAAATTATAATTTTATGGATGGAAAAGTACATGGGTGGCTGTATACTGAAGGAATTGTAGATAAGGGGTGGTTTGCTGAAATTTGAGTAATTAAGGGTGGTAGCATGAAATATAGGCCAAGTCAGGAATGGTTCCCTGAGGAAAACCCTTAATTTTATATTTGTTAAGGGGTGGTTTGCTGAAATTTGAGTAATTAAGGGTAGCAGCATGAAATATAGCCTAAGTTAGGGGTTGTCCCCTGAGCAAATGCTTCATTTTATATTTTGTTACTAGTCTATTTTTTTGATACTTAGTTTAATTTCAACTATATACTATACTCTCTAGTGTTGCTTTGTATATTTTTACATCAAACATTTGTTGCATGTTATTGAGGGACTTGATTAAATGCAAGTATTCTGAAATGTTATTTTCTGAATGTAGCGCTGGTTAAAAGCATTGGGTTGCGAAATGACGGGAAGTTGGATGATCGCTCATACTGGATCACTCGGGCTGCATCACTTTCTGTTTCTTTGGCTATTCCATTTGTATATCCTAGGATGATATCCATTCATGATCTTACTTCCAAGGTACAAATGGGTGTATTAATTTCTCACCGTGTTCCTATTGTGTCATAAACACGTGTTCATCTGCCTCTTTGGTCTATATATGCCTTAAAGGAATTATTCCTGTAGAAGATTTAATCATCTTGTACTCATACACAATACAAGCTGGTACCCTGGTCGTCTGGGGGGAATCACTGCACTTTCTTGAGCAAATTGTGCTGGAGAAATGAGGTAGTTTAGTATACCTGTTGCATGGTTGCTAGATTTGTGTGAAGATCTTTGCTTGTCCATATTCTAGCACCAAGTATTTTGCAGCAGCTTGGAGGGATGATGTCATGTTGACAGCTATCGTAGATTCTTAGTTTTTGTGAAGTTTTCTCTACAGAGAGTTGTGCTTGAAAGTTGATACCCTCTTAGTTGGGAAAGGGTTAATTGTGATAATGTGTGTCTATGTTATCCAAATAAAATTTTATGAATAACGTTCTTCTGCTGTCACCTAGCAGGAAGATGAGGGCTCAATAATTTCTGCAACGATTCCACTTTCTAGTGAGCATATAAGTGAAGAAGGAATTTATCTCCTAGAAAATGGTGAGGATTGCTTAATCTACGTAGGGAACATGGTGAACCCAGATATCCTTCAACAGTTATTTGGAACTTCTTCTGTTGAAGGCTTTTCATCCCAGGTAAAAATCTTCAGTTATCTTGTGAAATATAGAATTAACACTTGTTATTATAAGTGTTCCTTTTTTCTTTTCTTCTTTTTTCCATTTGAAATAAACTTTGGTATACTTTATTTCAATGGAAGTGTAAATCAGCCCAGTAGCATCCTCTATAAAATTATATTCTTTCATAGCTTGTGGCCTAAAGTCAGAAAATAAGCTTCACTTTTCCAATAGGACAATCTTATTTATAACCATCTACCATCTGAAAATGAGTTTCCATATTTCCAATAGAACAATCTTATTCATAACCGTCTGATGACAATCTACCTATCTATGGTGTTTTAGATGGAAGATTTGTTGCTAAAATGCTTCATATTTTGTGCAAAACTGTCAAACATGCTGCAACTTAGTTTGTTGCCTAATGACAAAACATTGGGGCAAGTCTGCTGTTTAGTGCTTGACGTCTTTTATTTTGCAAAAAATATAACATCGCTTGTAAATGGTCGCATCTTTCGTTTTCATGCTCATCTGACTCTCCTAGCCACATTGCATGTTTGGTTTTTCCCCCCTTTTCAATACAGGTATTATGTAAGCTAGTTATGTGAAGTAATGTTTGTTAAATTTTTTCCTCTGTAAACAACCTTGGACATTGGTTTCTGCCACCTAAAACATATTTTGTGCTTTTTTCAGCTGGTATTACAGCAATTTGACAATGACCTCTCGAAGAAACTAAATGAGGCGGTCAATGAGATTAGGCGCCAGAGATGTTCATATTTACGGTAATACACATTCTATTTTCTCCACTCTCAAGAGTTTATTGCCATTGGCCAGTGATGAATTTGAGGATTTTTGTTTTTGTTTTTGTTTTTTGGATGCAGTTTGCAGCTATGCACGAAGTCCAATCCATCAGGTCAGTAGAAAAAGGCCTTTTGATAAACTTTTCCTGTTCATCTTGCAAGAACTGATCTTATTGTGTTGCTGCTTGATAGATGCCTTCATTTAGCTAGTCTTGGTGACTAGATTAATTCTAAAAAATATACATGCATGCACTTTTTCCCCCTACCTACTCCAAATCTTGTGAGGGAGGACCATGTCCTTGTATGATCTGAATTCCAACTGAATTGCTAACCAAATTTGATCAAATTCTTCTTTGCCATGTTTAAGTTGAGATCTAAAAATCTAAATCATGGATATAGGTCTCCATATTTAGTTGTGTCATTTTAACCTGTTTGTTAAAACATTTATATTTCTTCAAGCACACTAAAGAAGATACTAACTGTATTCTACGCAGGCATGCTATTCTTTTCATATATGATTGAGGACAAGGCTCCTGGTTTCCTTTCCTATGTTGAGTTCCTTGTACATGTCCATCGGCAAATCCAAACAAAAATGACATGAGCCCACTGTGTGCTTTATAATTTTCTTTTGGTTTGCGCGGAGCATTTGATTTGTAAATGTTGCCTCCTTACTGAAGATGGGAAGAGGACTTGAGCAAAAATTCCGTCTAGAATTTCCTGATCCTGCTTGCTGAGGGCACAATTACTGCTCTACGGTCTTAATTAAACTCAAAGAGATGTATTTTTTATTTTTCTCCGGACTGTAGTTTTTTCTCACAATCTATAAAAATGATAGGCTTTGGAAAGAGGTGATACAGTGAGAAATAAGTAGGAAATTGCAGCTTTCCATTCATGAATCCAGTTTTTTCGAAGTTTGGACTTGTTATGGGTTTGATGTAAGATGAGGTGTGTAACGTGGATAGGAATCTATATGTTAGGCGATTTATACAAGCATGGTGATTGATCACTGTTACTATCATCAATAGATGAAATTTTCCTGTTCTTGTTTATTTATATTAGTAAGTGAACTTGTTTCTCATGTGTAAGTGCCTTACTAATCCACCGTGCGAACCTCTGGGCTTTGTCTGATTTAGTTATACTGGATTTGCTGCTGTGTGTTGTGTAGAGCCATGTCAACTTTGGACTAAATATCAGAATAAATCCTCAATTTTGGACAATTATTGGACGGCCCTGTCACCTTCGGAACATCAGAGAACCTCCTTAAGACCATCTCCAATGGCTAACAATTGGGTATGTTATTGGGTGCAATGGCTAACAATTGGGTAGGCAAATGAAAAGTAGGAGAGAGAAAAGGCAAAATTTGCCTACCGGTTAATTTTCTCCAATGGTACGGCTTGTCAGCAGCTTCCATTAAAAAAAAAATGCATTAACCAATCTCCTTGCGCCACGTCAGCGAAGCTGGGACATTGAGATGGACACAGGCGCGTGTCCATCACAAAAAAGAATCTCTTTTGTTTTTTTTTGTTTTTCTTTCTTCCATTATTTAAATAACTTTTTTTATATCAATAATTGCTCTAAATTAATTATTTTTTTCACCCTTATTTTTTATTTTTCAAGGTCTATAAATAGAGCTTGAGTTTATGTTATTTGGACAAAAAAAAAAAAAAAATCAAGTTTTTACTCACTTCATTCCTTATATTTCCAACTTCCACATTCTCACCCTCTCATTTTTTTCTTCTTCTTCCATCTTCAACATCCTTCATGGATCCTTCAGTTAACTTAAACTTTCTCCCAAATTACAACTATCCAAACCAATCTCAAAATCCGAATATGCAACCTCAAAATCCAAATACACAACGGCCTGAAAATCATCCTTACATGCCATATGGCTATCAAAATCCTAATATGATGCCACCAATTTATGGAATGCAATACCCGTATAATCATCCTTATATGCCATATGGCTATCAACCAGTTCCTGGAAACAGCTCTCTTCCATCTCATGTCAATTTTCCAAACATTGAACCGACTAGTGAGCCAAACACACCTCGCTTTAGTAGTGGATCCACTGATATCCCACAATTTTCTACACAAATCTCTCTGGGAGAACTTGGTGGGGATACTCCCCACAGTTTTGAAGCTCCAACCCAACAATCAGCGAAGAAAGGAAATTACGCCAGTTGGACTTTTGAAGAGAACAAGTTGTTATTAACTGGTTATTTCCACTACAGTACTGACAGTGAATTGGGTTCAAATCAAAAGGGTGATACTTTTTGGGGCAAAATCTCTGATTACGTGAATGAGAACTCCGATCGTGGGATACAGAGGAACATTGTAAAATGTCAAAGTCATTTTCGTGACCTCAACAAGAAGATTAGTAACTTTGTTGGTTGTTATAGTGCTGCTACTAGGGAGAGACGTAGTGGTTGGTCAGACAATGACTACATATCCAAAGGTCTAGAGTTGTACAGTGAAAACCAAGGTACAAAGTTTCAATTGTTGGATGAGTGGAAGTTGGTTCGTCACCAACCCAAATATATCACAGGAGCAACTGAATCTGGAAGTAGTGGATCTAAGAGAAAGAGTGGTAGCGATGACGTTGATTCTGCTATTCATTCCCTTGTACGTCCGGAAGGTAGGGATGCAACAAAGAAGAAAGCTAGAGCTTCATCTAGTAAATCAGTGAGGGTTGTCAGAAAACCATTTTTAGCTTTTAAGATTTTATCAGAAAACCCTTTCTTTAAGACTTGAGTTAATTAACTTCAATTTTCACATGGGCGACTTGGTGGGGTACAGTTGCACAGGGGGGTGTTGCGTTTTGCGTGGGTAAAGTTACACAGGATGATATTCTTGCCTTGGTTTATGTTTCCGGTGAGTTTCTGATATAATTTTCAAGTTAAAAGTGGGTTTCATGACGACCCTTAAAACCCCTAGCTTAAAGGGGATTTCTGATATTTTGAAAGTTGCTTAAAGGGGATTTCTGATATTTTGAAAGTTATGTGTGCTATATAATTGTCCAAAGTTATCTGGTTTTTCCGTTTTAATATTTAGCACATATTTTTTCAAGGAAGTCGACTCTCATCATAATTCAAGGCTGATGTTCTTTGGATTTGATTTCATGTGTTAGGAGAAATTTTCAAGATAGATCTTAGAACTTTCATGTTCCAAAATCGAAAACTCAATCCCATTTCGGCCATGTCCGCAGCAGAAACGTGACTGATCTTAAAAGAACATCGGTTTCTAATTAGTTGGGATTGACAATACAAGTTAAAGAAAAATTCATCAGTTGATATTGATAGGTAAAACGAAGCATTAAAATCTCCCAAAAACAAGCTTACCAAGTGTTTACACGGCATTGTTGCATCACATACACCAACCGAAACAAGCGTATATCAACTCCATCGAGCAAAATGCACAAAAAAAAAAAAACCTTCCTCTCCATCATTCTCATTTCCCTTTGACATAAGCTTGGATGATCTCATCGTCCGGTTGTGTGTGAAGTTTTGAAAATCCAAATTATTGAAGTATACAATCGGGCATGTGCATCTTGACAATCATAAAGCATATGATCGGGATTGTAACAAGTCATATACCTTCACCATCTCTACGAATATCTGCTAGTGAAGCTAAAACTCCTTCGTAGGGTGTCCATTTGTTCTATAAAAAATATTACACAAAAGTACATATCATTAGCATTCTTTATGTACTCTATATATTGCTTGAATGGTGTTAGATCTTATGATTTCATACATGCTTATTCTCCATTTGATCAAGCATGTTCTTGTAAAATTTTCCGTAACTCTTTGGGGAGCTTTTTAAATATTTAGAGACATTTCATCTAAGGGTGGCACTAGAGGCACACCTTGTGCCACACCTTGGGGCACACCCCTCTCTCAGCTACAGTGCAGAGGACCCATTTGAGATTTATTTAAAAATCTCAAGTGGACCCCCTGCACTGTAGCTGAGAGAGGAAGGTGTGCCCCAAGGTGTGGCACAATGTGTGCCTCTAGTGTTTTTCTTCATCTAAATATTAGAAATTACATGCAATCATAAACTCATATACATGCATCATAATGGAACCTGACCATCAAAAACTCAGGTCTCCTTCAAAACTGATTTACTAATATGCAATCGTTCCCATGACCATATTTGTGACAGAGTGCGGTAGCCTTGAATTTTTTTTTTTTTTTGCAAAAATGCCACTTTCATTGGGTCCCTATAGAGATAGGCTAGCACTACACTCCCCCACGATAATTCACCATATTCCTTAGGATTCTCAAAAGGTGGCAACTATCTAACTTGCACTGAATCCTTAGTTAAATCTTAAAATAGAATAGCGTTGATCATATGCATTATGTATGCCCGAGCATAAGTCTTGATGATCTCATTTGTCACCTCAATTGGTACATTAATATAGTTCTGGTGTAGCCACTCGAGCTTAATCTTACCACCATTCATAGTAGGAGCTTGCTCAATAAACCTTCACACCCTCTAACCCAATTAAAATCATTAATACCTATAATAGCATTCCCATCAACTCTAAGGCCAAGTACAAGCCATACATCTTACAGATTAATAGTTGCCTCTCCCAATCGCATGTGAAATGTGTTTGTCTAGGATCAACATCACTCAATTAAATCTGTTAAGAGGGCCAATTGAGTCATATCCATTGAACCTTTAAACATTAAGAAAGCCTACTTGACGAACATAGTCTTGAACACGTGGATCCTTCAAATCCCAACCTGAATGTGCATGAGTGTGATTAATTACAACAATATCTAGGGCCTGCATATATTACAAAAAATAATATATATTAGATACAACAACCATGTGAATTATAAAATGATTGAAAATATTAAATTTTTTACCTCCCCTAACTCTAACTTATTGGAATGGTGGTGATTTGGTTGTACGGGACCACATTAGTGATTGGACTAGCCTGCATGATATATACGTGTGCATGTATGTGTAGAATAAAATGTGTCGGTATTATATTATAGTATATATTGAATTAGAAATTACTTGTAGTATATATTAAAAAAAAAGAAAAGTCGTAGAGTAATCACAAACAATATCATATGCATTTATGCGAGAGTATGATATGAGAGTATGCATTGACTTACAAACTTCATAGACTATACTAACAAGGAAAAATAGAGTATATTAATTTTACCCATGACCTGTTGTCTGTTCAGATTGGTAGGACAATGAGATCTATTATGGTCTGATTGCTTGCAATATCCACACTTATTTTGCTTTGGAGCTCCTTCCCATTCTTCACCCATTGTATCTCTTATGCGTATCGATCGTGGACGTCCGGTTTGTCTCTTAAAATTAGGAGGTAACACATGCAACCTATTATAGAGTGGCCAGTGAATGATATCTAGAATTGGATTGAAACACAACTTGTATGAATCTCTACAGTGACTTGACCGATGCCATGCATAGGAGCATGTGTAGTATGAAATATTTGCATCCCCGTATTGCTTGGAAGATACCGCTATAACATGCGAACATCATTGTTTTTGTAATTGTGGTATGTTACAAGTTCATGTACATTGTGTTCTCCTAAATTGATGGTGTAAGAATGATCATATTTGTTTAATAGCTTGACATTCATTCGCAGCAAACCTAGTAATCCTTGTTGATCTCACTTGCATGACATGGGACCCTACAATCTCTTCATTTTTTTGGTGTCAGCCACTTCACTTCATCGTCTAGTCACTTGACAAAATATTGATTAAGTATATGAATTGTCCTTGCAACCAATGCCTATCTGGGCATCATTTGAGCTCCCTTAAGATCGTTAAAGCTCTCAAAATAGCTAGTTGCCATAATACAAAACCGATACCCTCCATCTTGTGCACCTTGAAATATTGTTTTGATTTGGTCCCTTAACTGATCATACACCAATGCTTCCAGCGCACAACCAGGTTGCAATAGAAGGGTTTGTAAATGCATCTTCCATGCCCCTTTTAAAGTTATCTTTAATGTTTCTTAAGCAATATCAGTGATAGTGAGGAGAACAAAAAGATCTTATGACATGCTTTAGGAATTCCTTTCATTCTGTTAGATATGAGTGTAATTTTCCTAGGAGGTGACATGTTAAAAATATATAACTGAATACAAGCAAAGAAGTATTCCCTGTTTCCACTATACTTGACCTCCACAACCACAAAAGCTATAGGAAATAAGCCACCCTCTGTATGATGATATGACACCAATGTTTTTAGTTTTTCTATCTCTAATCATATAATCATAATCCTAAATCTAATACAAGTTTAATTAAAATCCAATTTAGAATAAAAATTTAATATCTAAGAGGAATTTTGGCATTGGTGAAAAGTAATAAAGCGAGGCGAAATAAAAGAGTCCAAAAATTAAATCAGAGGGTCTACCAGCCAAAATGATACTACAAGAAAACTAAATTTAAAATCTCCATAATTAATACTTTATATGGTTCTCACAGTATTAAATTCTGATTCAGGACTGGATAATAAACTTAAAAAATAATAATAAGGGATAACTGTGAAATTAAGCCTTTGACAAATACTCTCTGAACCTTGGGGCGTTTTGCACAAAACACCTACAAACTTTATAAATTTGATAAACCCTATGGATTACATAAATCACAGACTTCACAGTAAATGCCATTAAATTATGTCACTAATCATGACCCAAGATAGTTATTTTACGTTACCCCAAATCGAAACAATCGACTTCCAAATCTATTCACATTTCTCATGCTTATCTGAACTTATAGGGTTACACCTAAATTGCATGTCACACGAGAGCAATTTAAAGAAAAACACACACACAATTAACATCTTGCTGTATTAATTTAAAATATATCCTGATCCATTAGATATATATTAAATGTGAAAAAATCGTTATGAGATCATCAATATTAATCCAGAAACCATCCAATGAAATACACAATTTGATATCATCTGAATCAAACTCAATTGATATAATAAAATGATCGGCTGTTAACAGTAGATAACAGGGAACATTAAAGCAAAATCCCCTCTCTTTTTCTATTCTTTTGAGAAGGATACATCATACATCTATGAAAAAACTTTTATTGAGAAAAATCTATAAAACTTAACCTCTATTGTGATTGAACATCATCAGAAGTCAGTAATTTCTAGGATAATCTGCAGAAGCAACAAACGTCAAATACGATGACTTCATGGCTTGCCACAATTCCCCTTCAACAAGCAGGAATTATTATTAGGATTAATTGCGGATAGAGCCCCAAAGTATCACTTTTTCGAACTAACTGCTAATTTTATTTTTGCAGATAGACCAGTGTAGAAAAATCAACCAGTGGGTCTTATCTACAAAACTAAAACTCGCGGTAAAGTAAGTTCGAAACAACAATATACAGGATCCATCAGTAATTAACCCTTATAATTAATAGAAAAACTCACTTGAAAAGCCAATACTGCACATACATGTTGATCCATAGACAAGTACAGTGGACAAGTACAGTATAATTATTGTCCATGCCCAAAGGCTCAAGCAGCAAAATAGCTGCCTAAGATACAACACAAGTCTTTTAACTTGAAGTTTACACATGCAAGGAGATTCTAATTAATATTACACAAGTTAGTAATGTTTCGATGATTTGATTTAAACATATGTAGTAACCTAGGAGAGCAAGGAAACCAAGGAGACAAACTCAGATGTAACCCTTCCCTTGGATCGTGTATTGATCACGAAGTGCTCTGGGTATTTTCTAAGCAGTG